GAAGATATAACAAGTTTTCTTTGCTCGTAAGCTTTGAACACAATGTCGAAAGAATTAAAGATGACCGCAAAAGTACCATTATCAAACTAAAATACTAAAAGTAGTTGAGTACAAGCCGATTCTAAAATAAAATAATTTTGTAAACTTTATTTTAAGTTTTTAACGATTTAACGACAACTACATTAGATATCATCACAGTTTGATGTATTATATTGATGTATTATATATATCATGTGTCATTATTTTATTTACTTACTTGTCGGTAGTTCCTACTCGAATGCTGTGTAAAAGTAGCTTGTCTCTTCAAGTCTGACCTATAAAACACATTTTTTGTCGATAGTTTTAACAAAATTAATATTAAAAGGGTACGTTTGTGGTCAAATACTTAAAATGTCATTGAGCTAAATTTTTTATTCTGCAGGCCAAAACATTATAGTGATGTTTGAAAACTTTTTAACAAAATATTATCTCAGGAAATAATCAAATGTGCAATCGAAAATGGTGAGCAATACAATAAGCTAAAATATTCAGATTATTAAGTTCATTTCAAACAATATATCCAATAAAAGTTTTGGTACATCTAAGGCCAAATTTTGTCTAAACATTTGAAATTTTCACAAGATGCTTTAGTCTATCGTCAACACATTTAAAAAGTTTGAATTTATAGTCAAGATATAAAATATTAAATAGTTAAATATTTTATACATTAGCCTAGAATTATGTTTTAAAACCTTTCGTGAAAATAAGTGTTCGGAAAGCTTCATTAGTACAACTGCAAATGTTTTAATAACGTCAAACTTACTTTGGTATTCGAAATATTTGGAAATCTTTAAACAATGGATCCAATCGAACGTTCATTGCGTGAAATTGACTCTGTTTATTATGGAGGAAATGTAATATATCATCGATTGTGTTTTTTTTGGCCATACACAAATCGTAAGATTCAGTATCTTGGAAGAATTATATATTCTATTAATTTCACCTACGGTTTATATGTAACGGTAGATTATTTAATGTTGATAAAACAATACCTAAACATAGTGTTTTTCCAAAGAACTTTAAAATTATGTTTGTGAAAATATCATAGGCTCTTGCTACAAAACGGAGAGTTTTTGTAACCCCAATCGATTGGGAACTCGCAATTCAAAACCTATTCGAGTTGGCATTTCTTTCTATGATATTATGTATTTATCTTCTATTTGTTTCTCTAGATAAACAAGTATTTCATTTTGAAAAGTTATCTTTTATCCAATAAAATATATACACTCTGTAATGTTTACACTATTTTAGGTCGAAAGTTTTCTTAAAGAAGCAGTTACTTTTTGGAAAAGTGTCACTGTTCCCGAACAAAAAGAACTGTTAATTAAAATGAGCAAATCCCACTCTGTGATTATTCCTTTCATCAAAGGTATTTCTTTGAATTATATAATTTTAGAGCTATAAATTCGAATACTTTTTTAAATATTCAGTTGCTGTTCTTGGCTCTTTTTTGTTATTTTGGCTTCTACCAGCTATTATTCCACCAATTCTCAATATTATATTACCAGGGGAACACAATTTTACAGCAAAATTATGTACAACTGGAGAATTAACACTTCTAGATCCTGAAAAATATTTTTTTTTCTGGTTCGGGTATACCTTCATCATTTTAACACAGGCAGCATTGTTTGCATTGTCTTTGTGTATTTCTCAGATTTTTTTTATCTCACTGAATCTAGCAAGATTCAGGCTACTCAGGTATCTAATTAACCGAATTCTTTAACATAATTGCATTCTAGTAATTTACGTTTCAAGTGCTATAAGTAACACTTTAAAACACTTGTGTCGTAAATTACTATTATTATATATGAGGCTAATACTCAAGTAAGAAAACAGATATCGATTATAGTTACAGATTTTCAACTCTTAAAAAACTTGTTAACAGTGACTCTTTTACTTTCAATGGATCATTGAACGAGTATATTCATAATGAAGTAGTAGACATACACCGCAAACACAAAGATTGTTTTGAGTAATATAAAAAATAATTATATCTATTGAGGACTGAACGATACCGTCACGCCGCGTAGTGGCGAAATTCTGTACTAGCGCACTAGGGAAATTTTGACGAAATAACTGTGCTGCACTCGGATAATTGACATTAAATGTTGTCTAACAACACTTATTAACAAATTTTTAATGGGATTAAAATTTCTAAATTTATATTTAGGTATGTACTTACAATTAAAAATGACAAATGTACAAAATTCATTGTGCAACATTTATTATTTTGTACATTTATCGAATTTCCCATGTTATTTCGTCAAAATTGCCCTAGTGCGCTAGTACAGAATTTCGCCACTACGCGGCGTGACGGTATCGTTCAGTCCTAAATATAATAAGAATTTTATACTTGTAATCATAATTTCAATCGTATGATTTAAAATGGTATAATTATAAAATAATTTAAAGCTTGATGTTTTGGTTGGATTTTCAAGCTCGAATTTCCGGCAGGAATATTTTAGCAGAAATTTATAACCTAACATTTAGGTTAAATTTTTAATTTGGTAAATTGAGCTAAATTTCAGCCGAGAAATCAATCCGAAGTATAAAAAAATTTAGCATAAAAATCCAACTGAATAATCCAGCTGAAAATTTATCTGGAATTTCTAAAAAAATTACTTAAAATTCTAGTTTCTTTGCTAATGTATCAAGTATCGGACGAAAAGTACTAATTATATTACATGCTTATATTTTAATAGGTTTAATTTTTTGTGGTTCAATGGTATGGAATTTAATTATCGATTTTAAAAAATTAATTTCTGAATATCTATATATTTCAATCAATATTTCAGATTTTATTCGCCAAGAAAGTTAATAATTTATTCTTATTACTGGAGATGATAGTATCATTTGCATTCATAGCATTTTATGCATTTCTGATAAGTTATTTTGGACAAATTTTAACTGATGTCAGTCTTGAAATTCGTTATGAGAGGTTAATATGTTGTAATTCGATTAATTAATTTTTTTTTACGAATAATTTTATAGAACAATTATAATTCTAGTTATTCTTGTGGGTGGTACAATTTTCCTCTAAAAACTAGACCATGTATTTTATTGATCATGCTGCGAGCAGAATATCCATGTGAATTGACATCAGGACCAACTAAAGCTCTTAAATTGAATTATGAAAGTTATAGTGCAGTAAGTATGAATCAAAAAAGTAGTAGTTCTATGTTCAGATAGAATGAAACTAGTTTTTTTTTAATTGAGCATTTTATTGTAGCTTATGAATACTGCAGTGTCTTATATGACTATCATGGCATCCCTTATTTAATTTATGGATCCAATCAGTCATTTTTAAATGCAAAAAAGAAAACTTAAGGACATTTCTAAATCAGTTATCAATTCTTATTTTAATTATAATACTTGCATTTATTTTTGAACTTATTATGAACAAGTTTAATATTTAAATTCAGGACTTTGAATTAAAAATATTCAAAGTATATCTTAAAATACGTCTAACTTCATTCATTTACCCGAGTAACTTTGGTTCAAATGTCTATGAATAGATCTTATACTTCTAGGATTTGATATGATTATATATCTTCAATGTATCCGTTTTGAGTTTTTACTGACACCCAAATGATGTGTGACAATTTTATAACATTCGAAAGATTTGATGTTTTAATGTACTCCATTAAGGGCTCAAAGGGGGCTTAAATAATTGTGGGTCAAAATAATACTTTTTTACAAAACCGTGCGCACGTATGTCACCGATCTTGCCGCGGTTTTGGTATGTTATAGTACATGGTAAATAGGTCCCAAAAACAAAATTTTAGACCCCCTCCCCCCTCCTACCCCCCACTTCCGGTATAAACGTCCATTTTCGATCTATATTTTTTCTGAGGACATGAAGTAATGAGGTAATGTTTTTCAATGCGATAAAAAACTGAAAAAATTTTCGTTTACTACATCGGCTCATACCGCCATATCTCGATTTTTGAAATTTTCAATAATTTTTTCTGAAGGCCTGAAGCACTCAAAAAATCTGAAAAAATTCAAGGTTGTTTGGATTGTTGAAAAGTATTTTTATGAATTTTTTCAGATTTTTTAATTACTTCATGTCCTCAGAAAAAATATAGATCGAAAATGGACGTTTATACCGGAAGTGGGGGGTAGGAGGGGGGAGGGGGTCTAAAATTTTGTTTTTGGGACCTATTTACCATGTACTATAACATACCAAAACCGCGGCAAGATCGGTGACATACGTGCGCACGGTTTTGTAAAAAAGTATTATTTTGACCCTTATATATTTCTATTTATTGTGTTAAGCTGAAAAAGTGAAAACAAATTTTTTTCAGAAAACGGGCATAAAAGCCTTTTTCAATACCCCATTTGAAAGTACTTTGTCTAGTTAAATACTTACAAACACTTAAATTAACTTGTATCGGCCTATGACCCTTCAGCGAAGAGCACTGAGAATATTTAAGCTGTTTGTCGTAAGATTCTAAGTGATAACTTAACACGACTAAGTTCTAGGTCATTTCATTTTCTTCGATGGATCATTATCCATCAACGCAACCTCAAGCTAAGCATAAGATCTTATTTGACTACTACTTCCACATACAATTTAATAAAATATTTTATTAAAATTTATCAAAAATAATCATTAATGTGACGTTTGAGGTGACTTTTTTCCCCAAATAACTTCGAAAAAATCACATTCTAAGCGAAAAATATCGCATTCGAAACGTCTACAACAATCGTGAACCTATTATGTGCTACATTTATGTGAGTTTTGAGGTGGGGTTTTTGTCCAAATAATGCATGACAAATATTACATTCAAAGGGTTTGTTTCGATTGTGTACTCCACTGATATGATTTTTTAAGTTTTGTTGGTAACCAAATGATTTGTGACAAATCTCACACCCGAAGGGTTTGATTCGATCATGTACTAAATTTACATGAGTTTTGAGATTATATTTTCGTCCAAATGATTTATGATAAATTTCACATTGAAAACATTTCCTACGATAATGAACTGTATTTATGTGAGTTTTGAGGTGTAGTTTTTGTTCAAATAGTGCATGACAAATGTTACATTCGAAGAATTTGTTACGATTATGTACTGTATTTACATGTATTTTAAGGCTTACTCTTGTGTCCAAATGATTTTTGACAAATGTCACATTTGAAGGGCTTGATTCGATTTGGTACTAAAAAATCAATGTTCATATATTCATTTATATCAAAGGTCGGATTTTTTTTTCTATTTTTTCACTAGGTAGGCGAATTTGATGCTCGGTTTTGAAAACGGTTGCTGATGAAGATTTCAGTTCGGGTTTGACTTCTCTGCACTCAAAGTCAATGAATATATTTTCAATTATGTCATTGGTCTGATTTACGTTTTCTAGTTTCACATTAGGTGAGAAAATTTGATGTTCATTTTTGCAGATGATTGTTGATAATGACTTCAGTTCACATTTAACATCTCTGCACTCAAAATCTATTAGTATTTTATCATTCGTACGTTCCTGTAATTCCATAACCTCATTCCTGTTGCGAGCCTAAAATTAAAATTGTACTATAGGTATTGACAGTGAAAAATTAGAACATAATTGAAATTATTAAACTCACTGGTGTTTTACAAAACGGGACTATTTCAAAGTTTTGGGTTTCACATTTGAAGTTGAAGTCGGAATTGAAATTGAAATCATCACTTGCACCTGCCCAGTTATTGGCGGGTTCATCTTTTACCCTTAACGATAGTCAATCTGATAAAACGATCGCTTGAAAAATATAAGAACATGCATAAAAAATGTTATACCTGACTCTACTTTCTATTACTCTCTTGATTAAAGTCACAACGACTCGAGAAAAAATATTCAATCAAAAAGAAAAAATATTCGAGGTTATCTTCCTCAAGTAGACTACAACGCTATACTCCGATTTCACCAATTTGTGTAAATACTTGCTTACTGCAGGAACTTAGCTCTCCGCTGGTGAAATAATACACTACTCATCTATCAGCAAAGAGACTCAGCGAATTTGATAGCTCATCCTCGGCGATACTTTCCCCTTCTACAGACGACTGGATATACCCAGTTATGTTTTGCTATGTATATATAAGAACTCTCGTGTTGTTACAATTACTCCGAAATTGTAATCGAAATATCAGTCATCCAGGCGCAGAATTGAATATATCTGTGAGGCTTGCGGAGAAATATTCAGACAAAAGAGACATACAAATTTAAATACAAACCAATACAGTCATTGGAAATGAAGTTCGATTTGTAATTTTTTTTTACTCTAAAAAAATTGGTGATTCGATTGTGTATTCACAACGAACGTGTTGTAATTAGTCGTTGGATTTAGATGGGTGGCGCGAGTTTTCTTAGAGCAGCGCCAAAAAATTCAAAATTCCAAATATTATATTCTGCTAGATGTGCTAGATTTATATATTTTAAGTTGCCAATAAATTTTTATCAAATTAAGAAGAGAAAAAGTAGAAGGATATAAGTCAATTTTTAAAATAAAACAATTTTTGAAACTTTATTGTAGCTTTTGATGATTGACAAATATTCATCATTCGACTATATGAGAGATATCATCACGGTAATATAAGACATTGATGTATTAAGGAGCTATGTGATAGAAAATGATTAAATTTTTAAATAAATAACCCTCACGTTCATTCAATTGATTAATCTTGTACACTAACTTTTGTGAAATTTTCAAAATTAATCGCCGTCGCTGGACCCACGGTAAGTTTGCATGGCCGTAAACCCCGAAGAATCATAAATAAAATCATTTTACGACTTTTTACAGACATACTATCCCATCCACAATCATAACTTCAAATGAATTATTTTTTTATTTTACAAGTACGTGTTTAGTTAGAATGAAAAATCGATTTTACCAATTTGCAAACATATCTTCACTTATGTCAACCAACTTTTGTCCTGCGTAACTCATTAGAAATGCTCCGAACATTATAACTGCGAAAGCAGCAGTCGTTTTGATGCAATTTTCGACGTTATTTTTTTTAGCTTCTATAACAACCTGAAAATAAACGCATAAAACATGAATGAACCCTCACGAATATTTTCATCAAAATCGATTTTTTAAATAAATAGCTTAATTCAACGAACCATTGCACCTGCCACTGATATGAGTAATAAAATTAGAAACATAACGAAAAGTGCTATATTTCGAGTAATTTCATTCACTCGTTTTACCTGCCTTTTAATTTAGAATATAACATTTTAAAACATACACGAAAATATTACATAATTAAGTAACTACACCAGATCGATTAATACTCGTAACAAAAATGATGATCTTTGACTATAATTTTGGTTTCTTCGTAAATCGTTTGATGAAAACTTGCATCTTTGTCCGTTGAGGTGTCGTGAAACCGTTGCCTCAATTTTTGAAAATGATAACTGAAACGTTTGTAATTTTTAGATGCGTGAGAAATAAATTTTCCAACTTACTTGACGACTCGAGACTTTGCTATTATATATGCGATGCAAGTTATAAAGGCATGGAAAACAGCGACCACTGCAACGATGAGAGACATCAAACAAATGCAATTGTAGCAGAAAGGTATCGTTAGGAGTGATTTTCGGTTTATTTCAAAATTCCCAATGGTAGAAAGGATTGGTTTATACGTGGTGCTGATTATTCGATTCGATAACAATGGAGTTAAAAATGGACATCCTAGCGTGACAACACCTTCCAAAATTATTGCCACTGTTGGAATTATACAAAAAGTATTATAAAATTATTGGAATGATTCCCTAAAAAGCTTTTCACGGAAAAAGCTACAAAACAATTACGAATATTTGCTTAGCATGAATTAAATTATTACTAACAAGCAAACATCATAGAAATGATGTATATCTGTCTCATACTAGTTTTCATGATTTGTCGAGCTTCGAGTTCGGAGTTCTCGTAATCAGCTACAATAACTTGAAGAAATGCTTTTACCTACACAAGTAGTATTGAATGTTCAAACTTTTTATATACACTTGTTTTGATTAAACTTGTTACGGTTTTTTGATGAAATGTTCCAGTTAAGTAAAGTGCAAACATAAGTATTCCAGTAAGAGTTTCAAATATAAGGGCAACGTATACTTCGATAGGTCTGCCTCCTAAACGGTATTCTTTTAATATTGCATACAGCTGTCGAAAAAATTATGAACTCGATAAAAAAAATATGCAAATAAAATTCAAATACAAATTAGTGAATTGAAAAATTCAAAAAAAATTTCAAAATCAAGCATTAATAATTCCATTTTTCCATACCTGCATCACTATAGCATGAGTGAAGAAAAATATAAAAATCGATCTGCCAATAATCTTTCGTAAACGACTCTGATATGGTGATAACGATGCAACTTCGATAAATTTCAAATGAAAATAAAAATGTTCTACCATAAACGACCTTGAGGAATGATATGTAGCTTCCATGGGTACTTTCAAACGTAATCAATGAATAGTCACAATAAAAATTTATCAAAAATAAAAACGTATTGTGAGGTTAAATCTCTTTTAATAATAATCATGGCTTACTTAAGGGCTATGAGGGGGCTTAATTATTTTTAATTTTTGATTTTTAAGTTTTAAGCTGTAAAAGTGAAAATTTTTTAGCTACACATGATAAACTTTATTTACTTGTATTACAATTTTTTCCAGAATATACTATTTAAAAATAATTAATTAAATATGGTATATTCGATAAAAATTAGAAATAGTCTAAAACTGTAAGTAAAAAATTAGAAACAATTAAGCCCCCTTATAACCCTTAACATATTTCTACATATCTTATCTGTTGAAATAATAGTCAAAAATTAATATTTAATAAAAATGTTTACTTCTATATTACTGATAATAATTTTCTACTTATGTGAATTTTTGCAAGGACAAGCGCTGAAAAAACCTGGTACTTTATTTGTGGCCCAAAAATTACTTAATAAATTGAACTAAAATGACTACATTTTAAAATTATATGTTACTACAATAGACAACTGTAGAGGTAATGTGCATCATTATTTCAGATTGATTTGCACACGAGTCTGGAAAAAAATAAGTCCTATAAATTTATGCAAGATTAATTATGTAAGATTATCTCCACTATTCACGCGTGCATAGTTGACCTTGACATTTCCAATTCACCGAAACGCGGAAAAATACAGAGAATTGCATTATAGCTTGAAAAAAAAAATTGGAAATAATTGGACACTTACAAAGGAAAAATATTATTTAAGCTACAACCTGCAATAAAAAGTTCAGGAATATGTATAAAATAAGCGAAGTTGTTTACAATTTTGGATATTATTACGCTACTTCGCAATAAATCATCAGTTGTTTTTTTTCCAAATAATAGCAAAAAACATTTATAAATCATACGAAATTTTCATATCATAGTCATTAATTATTGTAAATTCTACACCGTATAATTAAGAAATCGTAGAACGACGAAAACTAGTGAATTAAAGCAAAAACTCATTTTTTCCACGAAACGCTCTAAAAATAATTTTATTATTATTACAATTTTATTCAAAATCATTTTTCTAACGCGCTGCGCCGAGAAAATTAGAATTAACACGGGACATTTTTTTTCTACCTTTCTTTTTTGCCAAGCTACACAGCTGTTATGGCACATGCATATTTTTACTGAAACAGAATATAACATACGTGCAGCAGCAGCGGTACGACCATGACAGATTTTTTTCTGCCTTTGGTGGTGAAAGTAGGAGAAAAGAGAGAGAGAAGAGAAACGAGAAGAGAAGAGAGAGAGAGAGAGAGAGAGAGAAAGAGAGAGAGAGAGGTAAACGCACTCACGCACATAACGAGAACTGCTAATGAGCGTGAGGGTTGAAGGTTTGTAAGAGATATACATGTGCCCCGACGCCGTTACTTTGGTGGTATACGCGAGTGCATTTAATGAATACGTTGAAATATATCGCTCCCAAAGAGAAAGAGCGAGAGAAAGAGAGAAGAGCCGAGTGTGTGTGTGTGCGAGAGGAAAGGTTGCTACTAGTAGTTCTACTGCCGCTGCTACTGCTATGTAAAATTTATACGTTGAGAGAGAGCGAGAGGGCTGACGCGCATTTTTCGTCACAAAATTAAGCTATATACTTATATATATACGACTACTCTGCGCGAAGAGCTGCTGACAGCTTCATTATGATATTATATGCTTTCAATTAGTGNACATTATGTACCTCTACCCAATAGACTCTTATTTTTGATTCATACTTTGGCTCTCTCTCTCTCTAACGCGCGCGTGGCTCTGCACTCGCGTTTGCAGGGCTTTCAAAAGCTTTCAATCAAAATGAGGCTACATACATATTAGAGCGTATCGATTTACCCCCTTCAATGTTTAAAATTATCATCGCGTAAGTATGTATATCCTTTTATGAATGATGCGAGAGCGCAGAGAGTGAGAGAGATAATTTATGGCAGATTTTGCGCATTTTTTTGCACTCGCGGGCTCTTTAACACCTCGAAGAGAAATATATGCAGCAGCGCAGGCTTTGTGGTGGAGTCGAGAGAGAGAGAACATTTTTTTCGATGATCAATCATTTTTTGTAGACTCAAAGTTGGATCTACAGAGTAGGAATTATTTTGTTAAAAGTAATGAAGCTATAGCGATAAAAAATTAATTGTTACGAGAGTTTTTGAGCATTTTGTACAGTTGCTATTTACCAAGAGTAGCATTTTTATGTTTAGAAGAAAATAAAAAGAAAGTTAAAAGTAATTTTTCCTAGCTTTTATTATTTCCAAAATAATTAGTTAGTGAAGATATTTTCTTCTAAGATAAAGTCTTATTACCTTTATACATAAAAAAGCGTTGACGTAGATATTATGAAAAAAAAATGTTTGGAAAATCCAGATGAAAATCAAGTTTAGAATAGATAGTTTTAATGGACAGTTTATCTTTAGTCCAACATTTGCAACATAGACTTGGAATAACGTAAAACCTGCTATACGCGCACAATATAAAATGATTGATTTTACAACAACCTCAAAACATAAATGCAGCGTAGTAAGGGTCACTTAAGTATTGAAGTAAGTGGCCATCATAACAATGGTATAGGGGTCAAAATAGGCAGAACCTCTACTTCACTACATTTATGATGTTGCTGCAGAATTAATCGCCTCGTAGTGTACGCGCATACTTATACCGTGCACTGCCAATCGCGCGCTCCAATATCCACTCGTGTAAAACAGCGCGCGATATCGATTTTGAGCTCCCGCAGAAATGTATCACAATTTCTCTCTGGCCACGTACACCGCGCCCGGCCGACCATCGCAGATTGCCAAAACTAAAAGCTTGTTGTTGCCTGAAGGACAGGGCCTGGTTTTGACAGACACTGCGTATAAAAAAAAAGGGAAACCCTGTCGAGCCCAAGAGACATTTTGTTATTAACTGAAAGAGAAGAGTTTGATGTGGTCGGATTAGAAAAAAAGCAAGTGTATTGATTTTTAATTGACTATATTGATAAACGATACAAATAAATGAGACTATGATTTATTTTTGAACAAAATAGTCAACAGTTTAATTTTTATCATTACCTTAACACTCTTTATTGTCTAAAAAGAAATGTTTTATACTACTTTCAATGATATTCGACATAAAGTACGATTTGACACAATACTTACAAAAAATTATTAACCACACGTAAGGTTATTTATTTTCTTTTTATCGAGTATAAGAAATTTCAACGCAGTATAAACAATTTGTTTGATCACAATAACTTGATATATACTTATACATTTTATTTTTACATGATTGTTATAACGAGAATCACAGTTGATAGTTTCAGTCACAATTTAATAAATTGCATTTCTTCTTTGAAGAGTAATATCGGAAGTTATTAGATGGAATAAAATACTTATATTCATTAATAGTCTAGTTCAATAATTACTCTGACCAACAATTCTTTTACATCTATGCTTACGCGTGTACATTGACTTAAAAATATCTATTTACTTTCGGTAGTAAAATGTAACTAAAAATAAAATACAAATTAAGCATAACATATCGACTCCCTTTACAAATAGTAGTACTATTTTCTAGTCATTTCACTAGGTAAACGCATTACTCTCCGTAATGGGTGCAGAAATCGTTAACAAATTGTTAAGTAAATAATAAATTTTAAGATAAACTTTTAATATAGGTAAGTAGTAATTTTTTGTTGCATACCCATAATTTTCTTTCACTTTCACTTAAAAGAAATTATATTTAAAAAATGGTGCATCAAGAATTTTCTTCATAAAAACAGCTCAAAAAATAATTATAACTAAATTTAACCCTGTGCGTTTGTTTTTTATCTTTATAACGTTCAGATATTCTGAATAACTTTCCATATTCTACATTTAAAATTTTATAAATTTACAAGGAACAAAATTATCAAGTTCAACATTTTGTATATTAATTTATAGTATAATATAAACTTCATTTCACCCAAGTAGATAACTATAACAATTTTCAATAGCATTTTATCATAGATGAAATTGAACGCATGGAAAATTGATTTTCATTCTAAATTTTTAAGTAGGACGAAAGCTGAGGCAAAATAAAAAATATTTAGATTAGTTTTTTGCAACTTCTACGAAATATTTTTTCAAGTGAATCTGTGGTACACTTCATTGAAAATATATCAACAAAGTCACAGAGCCATTTAGGAAAATAGTCAATAGAAGTCGTAAAAATTAACTTAAACATTTTCATATTTGCTCCAGGTGCAGCCTCTTCTCAATTTGTAGATATTTTTTTCAGATTTTACAAGTGTTCTAAAATATTTACAGTGTATAAACAATGTATATTAACGACCAAATATTATCAAGAATAATTTTTGGAAATCTTATTTAACTATATAATAGTCACTTAAAACAATGCGATATTTTCGGATATGATTTCATATTATATTTAAATAGGCAGTCTTAGTTTGGAATGTTCTTAGAAAATTGTAGTAGTGTCTTCATTTTCAACAATTTAGAGAATTCGAAGGAAAATGTTTCTTGTAAAATTAATTATTAATAATAAAAATAGATAACATTAAGTTATACGTATGTTGAATTCAAGTTAACTCTATTGTAAGATCATTAGCTAATGCCTTAGATCCTTTCTTTTTTTCTTTTTTTCTTTTAATACTGACAACCAGAGTCTATCATGATAATGTTCAGAAACTTCTTAATTTCGTGTATTTTATTTTGCAACTTTATTAAAACTTGTAGGAAGAACCGTCAGAGTAGTGCTGTTCAATCTCAAAGACCTCGGTTCTATTTCTAATGACATTCGATATAAGTCATCTTCGTCTAATAATAAGCTTGTGTCCAATAAGTAATTTGTCACTTTGGTAATTAATTCAATTTTGTACGGTGTTTGTTGAAAATGACGAATTTCACGTATTACGTGGGCAATCTGAAACAATAAATGCAAAAAATTTAAAACAACTTTAGCAAATAAATTTTGACTATACTATTTTTCAATGTTATTGGGAGTCGAACTTTGATAGGAATTGATTTGATATAAGTGAATATGGATATTATAGTTCCCATAAAAAATATATTCAAATATTACCATTCGCATTTTTGAAAAATTTAATAGACCATCGGCGGTGAAATTAGGTGTTCCTTCCTCGATAAATGAAAGATCAGTTAGATACAGACCCAGATAAGGTATACATGGAGGATCACATCTGTGTAAGGCATCCCTCAAATTTCGAAATCTATGTTCTGATGATACTATATTTTGTAGTCTTTCAATATTTTGCTTCGTCTAAAAGAATATTAATCCAAATAAAAAATCTTAAATAAAAAATTCTGGAAATATACAATAAGATAAAAATGAAGATCCACTTTTCATTGACTGAGCATAACAAGTTTTTTTAATGAACTGGATTAATTATGGTTTAATTTTTAGTAAAATTTTAAATGATTTTTTTCCAACAGCTGTTCTTATATAGCATCCTATTAACTTGCAAAATGAGCTATATCAATATGGGAAAACATAAGAAAGAGGAAAGATTCAAAATGTATCGTAATCAAAGCTGTCATATTTAATTATGAACTTGTCGATTCCATCAATAGATCGAGTATTGAAAATTCGCAAGTAAAAAAACAAATTTTATACCATAAGAAAGTTAGATACCGGCGTAGATCAAAGCATAATTACGACGGTATTTACAATGTTATTTGATTTTCTTTACCGTTTTTGACACTTTGTCCCACGTCTTTTTCAATCGGTAAACGCTGCTATTTGTAAAAGCAGCGCATATTTGTAATACGCCGTTGTAATTGTGCAAAACTCGACTTATATCAGCCACAGCTGTCCACTTTTCAATCGCAGCCACACGAGCTTGCATATTTGATTTGCGAATGATTTCCGATACCACCAACTGCGATACTTCATTGAATCGCTTAGTCATCAGTGTTATGTGGGGTGCTCTTATGGCTTTGTCTGCTTTCATCCATGCTTGGCCCAAAAACTCTCTGTAAAATTATTTACAATTTGCATGTAAACTGTTATGAAAATGTTTTCATGATAAAATTGTACTTACTCGCTCCTAATAGAATTAAAAATTTGATAGTCTAAATAAGTGATTTGCTCAGCTATTTCTAGCGCAGATAATGTTTCAATACTTTCTTTTGTTGGGACCTGCAATGAAGATTCATGAATAAATTATGCTAATAAACTATTCAATTATTAAAATTAAATCGTAATTTACGATACCTGTGGAGGCATGAGTAATTGTTTCAAATCTACATTTTTACGGTCGGGTTCTTCTTTTGTAATCAATCGTAACAATTGATTAGCTGCCTTGTGTTCGGCAGGCAGAAGATTCGGGCTGTAAATTATATCCTCTAAAAATTCGATCGTCAGTTTCTTCAACTTCCCATCTATTTCGAAATCTTGGGCGTGTTTCGATATCCAGTGTCTCAAAACGTTTAGGACGCGCATAGTCGCTGCCGTGGACATAACCGACTCCTTTCGCTTGTTCTTATCTCTGTACGACGCTCGATTATTGGACGCGCTATTGCCGCACGTTTTATCCGGAGGATTACTTGAGGCAGATGTAGCTATGGCGAATGCAGTCGCGGCCGTAGACGTGCTACTTCTGCGAAAGAAAATTTTAAACGATTTATTAAATAATAATTCGTCGAGACCATTTGAAAATGTAATCCTATATTAATTAATGAAGCATTTAATTACCTCCGTCCGCTTTGTCGAAAGCTTGTAATGACTACCCCTGCTTTACTGGAGGATTGCTGTAAACTTTGCGGTACCGCGATATTGGCCTCGTTATCTTGAAACGATCTCCGTCCCATTAAAAAGTTCTGCAACCAACCGTTGCAATGCTAATTTAATTATAATTTTTCACTTGATTTGATCGAAAGATTGTATAAGGGACGTTTATTACCGATGCAATCGTAGACATCGATCCACTTCTGAACGATAACATCGGGGCTGAAACAATGGACGCTCGATGATCCGATCCTGATGGCTGACCGATTTGATTTTTAAAATAATTTGTGGTGAAAGTATCGGCAGTCGATGTCACTCTTTCGCTCGGCGCATTGTTGTCTCCGCTATCGGCTAATATTTTACCCCGGGGAATTTTGCAAGGAGAATTTTTAACAGCATCGGAGCTCACTAATTTGGATGGAGACTGATGAACGTTTCCAGCTTCAAAATGAGTTTCTGCGAGTAAATATTCAAAAAAAAGTTCAAAATTTTGAAATTATAATTTTGTAAAATAACATTACCTTGCGTACTCTTTCCAGAAGTGGATGCGAAACTATCTTTTGCATCCGATGATATTAAACTGTCATTCAAACCTTCTTTAAGGTTGACGGGGCTCTTTTCAGATTCGGAACCGGAACCAGAGCCAGTCGAACCAACAAGAGTAACGGAACTGAGATTACTAGGCGATGATGGAGCACTAATCAGAGTCGTTTCTGAAAGAATAGCAATTTAAATATTATATCCTGTCAATCAAATCGTAAATTTAAAGTGTATGAAAAGAACTACCTGTCAATGTTTCCGAACTCGATGAAACAGCTATCATTTTTGGGATAGTCAAGTGATAACCGTCGTCGCTTGAGTTCCCTTGAACTTTGACTCCCGTACTAGTTCGTTGATCACGAGCTTTTTTGGAAAATGATGTATTTTGTAAGTCATCGACGCTTTCGGCTGCCGCAGAAGTTTCCGTTATCAAACTAAGATGCTGATCATCATCTATCAATTAATGAAAAAAATTTATCAATATTTTATGAAACAAGGTAATTACTGTATGTGTTATTGAGAAAAAATATTCTCACATTTTTTGCCACCCAATCGTAAATGACTTTTTGCATTCGAATTGTGCAGAATGGCTTCATTCGCAGAACTATACGCTCCAGTTTCGCGACTCTCGCTTATTTCGGATCCGTAACCTACGAGTCGAAGAAAATTACCATAAATGAATTTCCATCAATTGAATGGACTTGTCGAACATTAATCAAAAATAGGTTCTCACCTGAAACCGAACTCGCGCCACTCGTACGTCGCGGAGACAAATTACTTTCTCTTCGATCGTCGAGCAAGTTTGCATCGGTTGTATTCACTTCGGCAGTATCCAAAGAGCTGAAATTCACATAGATTTTATTTTACGTTTTGTAAAGTAAATTATTTTTAAACCTACATCATCGATCCCCTGGGAGCTTGAGCATCCGGTGGTTCGGCATCGTAAAAAACTCTCTTCAATGCCTCTAAAACAGCAACTCCATCGGTGAAAACTCTGTACGTCAAAAGAAAAGTATTCAAAAAATCGATGCTCAAAAACCGTAAATCGGTGAGTCTTTGTAGTAATCTTTCTGGTGTGGCGTAACGAATTTGTGGAACTTTGCACGAATTGAGAGTACGACTGAAGCGAATGTCAACGTCATCTTTGAAAAGTTTCGGATCGTTTCTTATCGATTGGGGCATTGTCACTGAGCTTGTATCGGACAATGAACTACGGAGTAAATCATTAAAGTGAACATTGTCCATGCATTGACTAATGTCACTGATCCATGCTGCTTTTTCCTAAAATTATAAAGTTAAAAGTATACTTTTTGCTCATTTAACAACTAATAATTGTAATAAAAAAACTATACCTGCATAGTAGGTGCAACCAAATGGATTATAATGGGATTTTCGCCAGTTTTACCATCGAAAATGATTTTGAAATCGCGATTGTGTATCGGAGTACCGATGTTTCCGGAAGCATTTCCCGTGCCACTGGTTTCACTGACTCCGCTCGAAACCGAGCATAATGATAGAGCTGAAAGAAGATTTATCAATTCGTACAAATAGTATATGCTTTTAAATATCATTATTTCTTACCATCTTCGTCGGTGAAATTGTTTTCACCGGGATCTTCAACCAAAATTGCATCGGAAAGTGGTATTTTGCCGATTTTTGCAACAAGACTGAGCCTGCCATCGTCGTCTTGACGATTTGTAAGCAATAAATGATTTGAGAACAAGAAACACTGTCGTAAAGCTTCTTTGTCCCCACTACTTTTACCACCGAAATGCGAGCTCAATCTACTTCGAGCACCCCTGGACTTTCCCAAAATTTGAATCAATGCACCTACAAGTGAAAAAAAATCATTTTATTTTCAGAGTTCTAAAGTTATATTATATAAATTAATCTTATAGTTTGTGTTAGAACACACAATTTATTTGTAATTTGTTAAAATGCATCGTATTAACAAGAGTTATCGTCTAAGAAGTATACAAAATAACTTATTTATCAAACTATAAATTATATTATGATTAAGCATTTGCTATATAATTTATCTCGCCATCTCGCGTCCGAATTGTCAACTTTATTTATTCCGAGATCATATAATTTTCAAATCTTGATTGATCACTTTATTGGCTTTTTTAGTTTTGTACGATTGTTTCTTACCATCATACTCCCCACAACAAACTCATTATAGTAAAAATTTCGTTTTATCATTAAAATTTTATTACGGATTAAGATAATTAAAACACTCTATAGTTGGTCCTGTGTACGGAAAAACATTGAATTTTTCGGTTTATAATAATTACAATACAAATAAACGCTCTAAATTTTGATTAACTAAAATTACTGTTTTAAGCATAAAAAAAAATCAAATGTATTAACCGCAATGTTGAGAGTCTTCTTTTTATCAGAATCATACAATGTTTACATACCTTGTCTAACAAAAACTTGATTAACGTCAAGTAAAATATCACAGCCTTCAATGATCATCCTTTCTACGGCTAAATTTTTTCTTAAATTTTCTGTTTCGCTCACCTGTGCAAAAATTTTAAAAGCAATTCAAAACATTTTCAATAAAAAAACAGATAGATTAATATCGAAAATATTGATTGACAAATTAAATATAAGATACTTTAAAATTAAGTATTAACTAGTATAATATTTTTCCCACCATCCCTTGAAGGTCCCTCTTTTAGTAGTTATAGTACAAAAAATATTTTCAAAAAATTTTATCTGTATTTTATTTTTAATTTTTATTGATCACCATTAATCAAGTTTCAATTTAATAACAAACCTCATCATGCATTTGTCTAGATAAATCTTCAAGTTGTTGACGAGCATTTTGTAGGCTTTTTCGCTCAACATGATCGTGCGGAGTATGGGCCAAAAGTTCATGTAGAGTTATGATATATCTAGGTATCTGAAACATTGATAATATATTTTTAAAAATAAAATAAAAATTCAATAGAAATTAATTTGTTAAAAAATAATTTAAAAAATTTTATAACTGAAGGATTAAAGATGAATTTATAAAAAGAAACTCCTATTCATGCTGTTACAAAAGTCGAGCAAAACTTCAGTAACTAGTTCAAATCATTCTCATCAAACGGCGGAGTAACACCTTGCGGGCATTGAAAATTAAAACCAGTGAATAAATGTGAGAAAAAAATTAATCTTCACGGAATAATGAGCAAAAGAGGAATAAAAATACTTCAGAAAAATGCCTCACAAAAAACGGTAAAGGGTACCTGAGAGATCTAAAACAAATAATAGCTATTGTAGACTTTACCTGGTGCATTGGGTAAGTTAAAAAAGTTTCTAGCGATCTCCCATGGCACGATGTTTTATTCTCTAAGCGACTTAAAAGAGCTGCGAACGAGGGCGAGGATTGTTTACATTCCGTAAGAACTTGTAAACTGTAGTGGTGATTTCTAACATATTCTTGATAAATGGACAACATTGGTAGTAACATATCAAACAAATCACCTACAAAACAAGAATATAATTACTTTTAATAAAAATTTTTGTTTTAATAAAAATAATTAAAAAATATTGTTATTACCCAAAACTAGTGTTGGCCAACTTTCCATACGAGACGTTAAGCCCTTTAAAAATATCTGATGTAAAAATAGTACTGTTTCACTGTTCAAAAAAATACTGTTGACATCTTCGTGACTACAGGGAGGTTTCTTGGAGCTCGCTGCCATTTTAAAGGGTCTTAAAAAACAGCTAACAAGAATTTCCATTTGTTCGGTATACTCTTCCTCGGCTTCGACCATTTGAAAAACCAGACTGAAAAGATTTGAAAATTACTTCACAGTTTATGGGTATGATATTTTGACTATAAGCGAGACTTATTATTTACCTATTCCGTTTTCTCATACTCTCGGCGTGTGGACTTTTAATATATTGTTCAACGATTTGTTTCCAACGACGTCTGCACAACCAACCTCGAAAAAAACTTTGAACTTTTTTAATTTTTTGCATCTCGTTGCTAGAATCTGATAAATCTTTGAATCCCGTAAAATTAGTCGCTTCTTCAGGCACGGTTTCTGTATTACTGCTTGAATTGAAAGAACCGGCATTTCCACTAGTATTCATCGATTGGGATAACGTTCTTTGAAAAACATTGCGTCCAGAACAACTGTAAGTACTTGAAGAATTTGGACGTAATTCTTTTTTCAGAGCGCATAACTGAAAAGGATAAAAGATGAATTAGAATACTCTTTTTTTAATTTAAATATTATACAATTCTGAGAGATACCAAAGCTAAAATAAAAATGTTTAAACGCAATATTCGAAATTTTCTCTGAATATTTATCTCTTAAAAGCTTATACGTAAATGACAATGAAAATCAGAAAAAATATTTTTGAAAATTTTTCTTGAGCCTGGTTTTGGTATCTCTTAAATATTTTTTTATCAACCTCTGCTCGTAGTTTTTTAAGTTCAGACGTGAGCTCTTCACAATTTTGAGTATACTGCCATTTAGCTGTTTTTTCACTTTCGACGATTTGCAGTAAGTGCAGATGCTTTTGTTCGAGTTCTTCTTTTTGCAGTAAGAGTTTATTAAAGCTACAATAAAAAATATATCAATACGTTTTATTCATTTCAAATGACCATAGTAGAAATGCTCATAGTGACCGAAAAATGACTTTAAAAAATGTTGTAGAATACATTATCAATTGGCTTTGACGATTTTTATGTTACAATCGTGTTAAAAATATTAAGCGTATTTTAAATGATCCGAAAATGGGCTCTATTTTCCTTTCGGATACAAATAATAGTTTTCAACCACTTTAATTTATACTTATATTTTTACTTTGCCACTTGCAGTTCGGCAGATAAAGGTACTCGCCATCTAGAGGTGATGGCCTAAACTGGTATTATCGTTTTTAAAGAACAAGTCGGACGAAATCTTTGAACCGTCTTTGTATCCCTATGAGTTTTATATCGTCTAAAATGGTCATTATAAGTCCAAGAAACTTTCGTGTTGGTCAAAAAATAGCCATTAAGTTTATCAAAAAATTATATATTAATTTACCTAGCTTCACGTATTGCATCAATCCACATCTTGCAATCTGTTTCAGTTGCAGATTTCAACTCATATTGTCTTTGATTTTCTCTTCTATACGATATGGCGAAACATATCTGAAATAATATATATTAAAAATATTAAACACATACTTTTCTGATTACAAAGACTAAAGCTACAGTTAAGGACAAAACGAAAATGGCTTTCGTTGTAGGATTTAAGTATGGTACGTGTCATATCTTAAAGTACTATGAATTTATACTTCAAAACTATTTTTTACCATGAAATAATCATAAAAAAAATTTGAAGACGATTTTCTTACTTGTTTTTCCAAGTCTTTTCCTTTTGCTGATATCAGGCGTTCGCAGTAACATCCTTCCAATAATATAACACCACTCGGTCGCGAGCTCGTTTCAGTTTCGTAGTAAAATAGAATATTCTGAAAAAATGTAGCATTAAATAATTTTCGATCACTATTTACACTGTTTGACAAAATAATTTTACCTGATACAGAACAAACCAGCGCAATTGCCATTTCGTCGAATCGGCATTTCGCTTATGCAAATAACCCGACAGCGAGTGATCGTAATGCGCCCTTTCAGAAAGCATCACCAGTTGAGAGTCATTAACTCTAACTGCGAAATACATCAAAGCATTGAAACTATAATTTGTGCTTTGGTATGATAAAAAGATCAAATTATAGCTCACCAGTTCTTTGCATCTTCGGACTGAGCATACTGAGATAATTGTGGTTTTGACTTTATTTAGATGTTGATAGAAAGGATTTTGAATTATTTTTAACGTTGGATGTGTGCATAATTTTACAGTACTTTGAACATGTTTATACATTGAAAGTCATTGTCTGAAATCAAAATATAGTGAAATTGTTAATTGATGTATTTAAAACATGAGTTTAAGTGATTAAGTAAATACTGTAGTTTTCAAATTAATACGTTAGAGTAGCGTCGAACAGAAGTCGAGTATTACAAAAGCAAAGTAACGAAAATTGTTCAGTGATTAAACATACTATTCAAATGCACAACTAGTATTTTCACTAAATTAGTATTTTACTGAAACTCTCAAATAATTGTTCATTCATTCGTGTAATCGATAACTGAAATGAAACAAATTCGTATGACACGTTGAAGCTATTTTCGACCGTGAATGTACTTGTTGTTTCGTTCAATTTCATTTGCAAAAAAGTAAAATATAATACACAATTATTACTGCATCGTATTGAAGCACTTGAGGAAATGAAGCCATGGATTTCGCGGGTACTTTATGAAATTGGTATATTTTTTTCTTTTATATTCTGGCGAAATGTTCCCTTTTAAGAGTTTAAAAAAATTGTTAATTCGTTTTTTGTCAAATAACACAATATTTTAAAACTAGAATATTCAACATTTAACATGAAAATTTTTTAAAAATTCACTTCATTTTCCTCGAAGTTTTCATCATCAAATGTATACAGCGCTCAAAAATAGTACCTCATTTAAAAAATTCATCTACATCTCTCTCTCATCCGTGCAATAAATTTTGTACGCGCCACTTGTGTTTCGCGATGAAATGTTAATGGGTGCAAAAAAAAAGAAAAAACGCATGAATCTGACCTAGTTATGCATGACTCGTGTGCGCTCGTGTGTCCCAGGCCAATTCAATATTTATTTTGACGTATGCGTTACATATATAAATGTGGGATTTATTAATAAGCTACATTGCACACACGTGTATGTATATACGTACGTATGTATTGTACGTATGCTCGAGTTTGTTGCGAGCAACAATCCGTGTATATATACCCTCCACCAAGTATGACACGCGCATGATCAAAATAGACACCTGTTAACGGTGACCTTCAGCGCCCTACAATCGCACGGATATATACACACAGCCAGAGGGGTCATGCTTGGGAGGCAAAGAATATCTTTGTATCATCGATGTGTACGAATAAAGACAGGAATATATATATATATATATATATAACGTTCGACCCTTACCTGCATTGGCTGCTGTAGTCTGAAGTTGTGGGTTGTGCGAAAAAGTAGTAGTAGTAGTAGTAGTAGTAGTAGTAGTAGTAGTAGTAGTAGTAGTAGTAGTCGTAGTAGTAGTAGCAGCAGCAGCAGTAGCTTTTCCTTCCTCTTAATCTAGATTTTGTTTCAAATTTTCGGCACTTTTCATAATACTTAATGTACTCTTCGACTTTTATGTTTCCATGTAAAACAGCTTCTCGAGTTAATTTTTAATAATGCACAATAACAATTAGATAGACGTGTACTTAGTTTAAAAATTTTATAAAGCTCGGAAAAGTTCGCAGTTTTGTACTTTTGGCACCAAGTGAATTTCACATCGATATAAAAAAAAGCTACATCCTCATTAGTGTTCTGATGGTATTACGGAAGAAAAAAATAGATAATACAACTTAGAAAACAAGGTGCACGCGGATCGAGCAATGTGGTATAACCTGGGTCGAAGTCAGTCTCCGAGTGAGCCAAGCCTCATAGCGCCAATAGCTTCCCCTGTCTTTCAACCTGTATTCCACCCTCCCTTCCAGCTACCTACTACCACCCTCTCTCGTATCTCTCTTCCTGACCTCGTTTCCAGGCTTTCCACCTCTCTTTTTCCCCAGCGCTTGCAATAAACATTTTCCAATGTTTACAGTCATATGAGATTCCAATTTTCTCTGTGAATGTTAATTGACTTTTATATTCGCAAATATTTAAACTACGGTTTCTACGTATGATTTTAGTTTATTCGATAGATTCATATTTTTCAAGAGCGATTTGAGATTTATTGATTGTTTGATCACGTAAGCGCTATAAATAATAAACGCAATTACAAACCTTTATGTAATTTTACCCGCTTGAGTTAATACTTCAAATTAATCAAACCCTATGTAAATGAGAATAAAGGCGCATAAACTGTTGCTTCTCAATGTTCGAAATTAAGGCGTTGTACTCCATGATATTGTGTTTCTGAATACAAGAAAAAAGTATAGTGCATTTGCAAGTAATGATCTGTATGATCAATACCAATGTTTTAAAGTAAAAAAACTTGTATGATGAAATATTAAATACTTCCGAATTATATTGCCAAATTGCAGTTATACTTTCGAATTGTAGTAACAGTACTTTTGATAAGATGAAACAATTTGCACAAAATTAACTCGCATACCATTCATTATAATTTTTTTTTACCAAACTTTACCAAATTTTCATTGCATTTAATTATGTTTGATTTGATATGGCTATAAGAAATTTAATTTTGATACTACTGATGGAGTAATTTAAAAAAGAAATACATTTTTTATCTTAAATAATTTTTACTTCATACGGTAACTGTTTTTATAATCAACATCAAGTACATGCGAGTTGTTACCCCTGAAGTTTCCTTTATACCGACCCTCTCTTATACCGTCTGTCGATGTTTAACCATGTGATAGTATTATAAGGGCTACCAAAACATGGTAAATATCATTTTTCGAATCAGATAGTATTTATCAGTGAACATAATATAAAGATTGTTAAAAAATTCGTTTGATTCCCACTATCTATATTTTTGTCAAAGATTTATAAAAATTTCAAAGTGACTCCGGCACATACTCATTTAGTATCGCCAAGAACTATATTCATGCATAAGTAATGATCATCAAACTTTTAAAAATCCTTTCTTTAATTCAACGTGTATTCTATTATGGATGCAAAATCATCATGTTTTAAAACCTTAAGATTAAAAGAGACAAGACCAAGTTAAAAATAAAGAAAAAATGTATAAATTTATTATATTTTGATAATTTATTAATTCACAATGTTTTCCATACTTTGAAATACTTTAATAGAATTCAATATCACCTAAGTACTTCATCAAGTCAATTTTTATCCTTACAACTTCATTATACACTTGATGAATACGTCTACTAAATTTTGAATACATGTTAGCTGATAACTTAATAAATGTTTTAATAATACAGGCTCTAAAGAAATTATAAAATTCCTCCCTTTAAACGAGGCCTTAAGCCATTTCAAACTGTTCAAAGAGAAGCATTAAAATTAAATGAATTCGTAATACATGGCCATTCATGTAATTTTCAAAGCTTACAAGGCATTCGAGTACAGAGCTACCCTTTACGTAAATGTAATTTCAATAGCAAATATTAATTTAAAATTAATAAAGTCGTACAATAGATATATACCAAAAAAGTTACACTTAAATGATATATAAAACCGCAATTAATTGGAAGAGGATATAAATACGTATATGTTATATATACTATTAAGTTGAGCTTGACAAAAAAAGTCAATCCGAAGCCCCTTGACGACGATTGTGTCGTACATGCTTTCGCTTTTTAGAGCACGACGCGCAGCATTTTTCCCGCACCACGGCTGACGCCTCGCACATCGGTCGATAGGACGCACATACCCACGAGGGATTTATGCTATCTTTACAGGCTGCAATAAAAAAAAAGGTGAGAATTAATTTTTAAAAGTACCTGGGTGTTATTGCGAAGTTGGTTGAAAAAAAAAAACAAATTTGGAAAATCCATTTACTTAATTTATCGTCGGCGCAGGGCTTTTTGAGGTGGCAGCGTTTTGTCTCGTGCGGCTTTCGATGCAGGTTGCACTCGCTCGAAGATTGATTCGTCTGTCTATCTATGCAAATGACGTCGCGGAACTTCTGTCCAGATTTTTTACTGCACGTCGCGTTGCAGGCGCTCCATTTTCCTGCAGGGGATCCATAGTTTATTTATGCATTTGATTTATATACTTTTTTTTCATAGTTTCACGATTTAGTCACCTGACACCCATTTTCCTTTTGTGCACGGCTCCTCGATCGGGGGCATGTTTTCCGAGTCACAGGCCGAAGAATCGTCTTCCACGGAGCAGTATACTTTTCTTACTTTTTTGCCGTTCGAGCAAATGCTCCACTTCGAAACTTGCCACTGAGGCTTGGGATTGTACATCGAATTATTTCCGGGATTCTCCAAGTCGATCACGTTGTCGAATTCCAATATTTCCGGTTCGATTTCGGTATTATTTTTGTTCTCCTCTGACAGCGTTTTTCCGTCGTTTACTTTTTGACTGTTTACACTGGTGTTGTAAAACGTCGTATTTTGCTCCTCGACGTAAATAACGATCGATGTTTCGCTGGTCGTCGGGCAATCGGGTAAATCCGAGCACGGCTCGACCTCCTCTGGACGCGCGTCTTTATCACATTCTGTATCGGGTAAAGCAATTTCCGGCTGATCTTCGGATTCGATCTTACCGGTGGAGACGCACATGACTGTTCGACGACGAAAAGCTCCTTCGCCGCAGGTAAGGGAACACGTTTGCCATGGCCCTGTCCACCATCTACAACGATAGAGTAAGTATCGAAATTTTTCATAAAAGACAATTACTAATAATTATTGATTTTTTACTTTGCAGGGCACGGATGCATGTTACATTCGCGAGTCAATGGCTCGGGTTTGATTATATTGTTACAAAATTTATCTTCGACGACTCCACTTTTTTCCTCTTGACAAAATGCGTAAGAAGATTGCGAGCCACCGCCGCAAGTGGTAGAACACACCGTCCAATCGAAATAAGCCCAAGAATATTCCGGCGTACGATTCGCATCCGTCTTTGGTATCGTATACACATAACGTAGTCCCAAATTTCGATAATTGCCTCTGTTAATTAGCTAAAATAAACATATATAATTAATATATAAATTCAAATAAATGCTGTAATTAACAATAATTCAGCGAGCTGTAAGCAATTTACTCATAATTATTAACTTATTCAAATATAAAGCTCTTACGTAAACAACGATATCTTCTTTTATAGGTCCTGGGATGCGAATTTTTTCTTTATCCCGGTCACGTTCGTACAGAGCAGGTGTGCCGGCTACTTGATATTCCCCACCTAACGTAATTTGCCTGAACGATAAATAATAAAATTATTAAAATTTCGATCGGAAAAATTACAACGACGAGTATCTATAATCATACCTTTGTCCATTCAAAAAGAATTCACTCGTGTTTACGCGACCAATGCCGATGTAATTTTTGCTATTACCGACTTCTTCGATTTTGATGTTACGAGAGCCCTCCGGAATGACAAGTACTTGCTTGTAGTCCGCACCCTCGTTCTCGTCGTAAACGCCGCGAATAGTTATGCACTGAGTACCGTCGCCGTGGCAAATTCCGCATTGATCCTCGATGGCGTCGGAATCGACTTTCCAGTCGCATCCAACTTTCTGATTCATAAAAATAAGATTTTTACTACGAAGATTAGATTAAAACTTTTCTTCAGTTTTTTTTTTTTTTTTTAATTTTAATGATAGAATTTTTTGAAATTTACTGAACGACAATCAAAATATTTGAAAAATTATAATAAGAAGAGCTTATATATATTTACTCTACAAATTCCTGCTATGCACATGTCCCTCGTGCCAACGTTGCAGGGCGTTCCGTCGAGTGCCGCCTCTCCCCAAGGTACGATAATGCGCTCTTCCGAGTCGGTGCAGTACAGTTCGCAAGGTTCGGCTGGAAAAGCACCAGAGAGAGGGAGAGAGAGAGAAGAACGTAATAATCCAAAATGAGTTGTAAATAACCCTCGGCTGCTGCGAGCTGAAAATTAACTCACTCTGATCGAAGTAGGGGAGCCAAGTGTAATTCTTGCCCTTGTACTCGACGCCGTTGTAGCCGGCGCACTGCTGGCTGCGAAAGCTCGGCGTGCCCTCGGGACAGGCCTGGGTGTTGCAGATCTTGTAGCGTCGCCGCTTGCCGATGCAGAACTTGCCGCCGTGCGCCGGCTCCGGGTGGTCGCACTTGCGCTCGATTATCGAGATGCCGGCGCCGCAGCCGCGCGAGCACTCGCTCCAGGAGCCCCACTCGCCCCAGCCGCCGTCGACCGGGTCGGGCTGGTCGACGATCGGGACGCACTCTTGATTTTGACACCACTTGAACGAAGAAAAAATGTATTCTCAGTTGTAGCGTTAGTATAATTTTGTGAGCAAAGGTTATTCTTACTTTGTGTTTACCGCAGCTAGTGCCTGGAGCTGCAGGATGTAAGTTCGTCGTGCACACTCCGTCGACTATGCACCACAACTTGGAACATATCTGCAACGATTCATAGCGTGAAAATAAATTCGGGAAAATCGTAAAAAGTTCAATGAATTAATTTTACTTCTTCCAGAGGTGAGCAGACCGAGGATTCTTTCACCGCGAATTGAAGTCTGCACTGGTGCTCTGCGTCGTATAGAGCACCAGGAGGTAAGTCGGGGTAAGAGTAGTCATTGTCGGCAGGTTCGTCCTCCAAACATTCACCCTTGCCTTGACTGTAATGAAGAAAATGAAAATTCTTTAGTGCGGCATCGAAACGAATTAGAAATGGATAGAAAGTTGTTTGGAAAGAAATAAAAGTAATTTTTTTCCTGAATGTTAAAGCATATATTTCAATGTTATAAAAACTTTTTAGTTAAATGCGCATATCCGCATTTAAACAACATACTGTAATTGACTAGTGCTTCTATATAAATTGTACATAAATATTTTTTTTCCACTCCCAACTTCCAAGTACCCTCGTAAAAATGCTCAACATTTGATAAATCATTTTTGGCCAACGAAAAAGCTTTTCTTTCGGTCAAACCGACTATTTCAAAGAATCAAACCAACTTGTATTTTGATTTATGCAACTATCTTTACTTTACCACTTGCAGATCTACAGATAAAGCTATTCGCCATCTAGTGGTGAATGCTTAAAGTATTATTATCGTATTCAAAGTACTTCAAAAATTTGTAACAATTGAATTGTCATTTTCAGATTATTAAAAATGCGCTTTATATTTTTTTAAACAGAAAAATTTCCAAAAATAAAACTATCAATGATAGTGTGTTTAAAAAAACTTCAAATCGTCAGTTTTTGGTCGTTAGGCCGCCATGAACGTTGAGTAATTCCACCAGAGTATCCGTCGTAACGAAGTTAAAAAAAGGATTCGCACAAATGAGATTTTGAAACTTATGAAGGAGAACTTGAGTAAATGTCAATGATCATGTTTGCTCGCAATAATTTTTAGAACATTGTTTTTAAGGATAGCAGTATGTACCAAATGCGCTGCGACGTACTCTAAGAAATTTGTGATGTCTCGCCTCGAGCATCGCGACCAAGCGACCCCGACGGTGTCGGCCTCGAAGGTCGGCGTCATCACGTGCAGCTTCTCGCCGTCCTTCTTGCCGCAGCCGATTTTCTCCGTGTCGTGGTACATACCGAAACTAGAGAGAAAAATAATTTTCATAAAAAAGAAATTTATACGACTCGCTTTTCGATAATTGCTCAACGACGACTCACTTGTGACCGAGCTCGTGAGTAATGGTGTGAGCCAGAGTGATGCCGTTGTCCTCGTTGACGCTGCAGCTGCGATCGGGCTGACACATGCCGGCGACGTGGGCGACGCCCAGCGTGCTGCAGGGCGTGTTGGCGCGCGAGCATATGTCCTGGCGCGTGATCAGTATCGCCACGTCGTGATGATTCGGGTGCGAGTCGTCCGGTGGATTGAGCTTCTGCTGCCACTTGCAAAAGTTGTAGAGAGTCTTGTCGGCGTTGATCGTTATGTTCAATCCTTGCTGAAGTTCAAAAGCTATTATTACTTGAAATTACGAATCTCCCACGTTGATATGTTCGTCATAAATTACTTCAGCCTCGTCGTCCTCCATCAGTACGATCCTCACCACGACGATATTGATAAAGTTGCCGATGGTCGGGTCGAGATACAGCGACGACACCATGTTCATGATGGTCAGCAGGTAGGCCTCGACGTCGCCGTCCTGATGGAAGGCCATCATGGTCGTGTCGGCGACCACCAGAGCCTCCACGTGCTGCGGTCGGCTGATGGACCGCTTGGAACGTCGGGCAGTAGAGGCCGAATCGAGCAGCAGCGAATGGGAGTAGTGGTGCATCTGGTAATGAGGCGGCAGCAGATTCTGACGACGCCTGCCGCGCCCTTGAACTTGAACCGAGCCCGGCTGCGATTGCCACTCGAGCAGAGTCTCGGTCAGGCGTCTCGGTTCTGGGAAATTAATAATAATGATATTTCAAAAATAACGCCAAGACAGGCCGCCGATTCGTGCCGCTAATAGACCGCAAAAGATAAGCCGAGAGAGAGAGAGATTCGGAAACGCATTAAAAGTAAATTTGAATACATAATAATAATGATAATATAATGATTTGGCGCGGCTCGAACTTACGAGGCTTCTAAGCGCCAAATCGTGGATTCTCACCGCGGGTGCCGCAGTTTCTCTCATGCTTCGTCTTTTTTTTACGTCTTGGCTTCTGCTTATTGAAGAATCGCATTCGCTTCTTTTTCTTCGTCGTCGACGACGACGACGCGGAGGCAGGTGAATCTTTGGACTTGCCATTATCACTCCGGCGTCTGCGGAATAATATATGTGGTCGAGTTTCTTGTGTGACTTTATACTTGTGCTCGTGCTCTCTTGAAACTGGTTCTACCCATAGCTGCCCGTGTTTACCGTGAAAATAGCCGGACTAAAATACATAGGATAGCGCTTCGTTAAACAACCACATGCATAATCTTCGTTGTATGCCTTAAATAACCCCGCAAAAATAAATAAAATTATGCAACTTTTTACGAAAAGTTTAAGAAAAGTATGAAAAGATAGCAGCAGCTCTTATTGAAACCAAACAGAGAGAGAGAAAGAGAGAGAGAGAGAGAGAGAATATGTTTGAGCTCTCTTGACCACTGCTGCTTATAATGCTTATTTATGCGGACGTGTGCCGTGGCATTTTGCGCACATTGTGCGCCAAAAAGGCCTACGCTACTTGTGACGACGACGACGACGACGTGGTATTATAGCCGAGACGTACACTCGACTTGCGCGAGCAAATATGCTTCCGAGGCACTTGGAGCATTTAATTTTGTATGCGTCACGTGCCTTTAGCAATTTTACCCGCACTGCACACGCAGCAGCAGCAGCAGCAGCAGCAGCAGCAGCGCGTCTGTGTTTCAGTGTCATGATGGATTTTTTTCTTTCTGTACTCTCTTAAAAGTGCAGGACACGTAAAATTACACGCGGGCGAATGACTATTTCGTTGCGGCTTAAAATGTCTTACCAAACCATCGCAGGCGGATAGAACTACTTTCGAATTGGGTTGATCTCGAATGATTCCTCTGAAGTGACATTTGCTGGAGACTTGGTTGACCGATCGTCGCTGGCGCGAGTTGCGTCGGTGCTTCTCGACGACGATCGCGGGTGAGATGAATTCGTTCGCGGGTACCAACTCGAGATGCAGCTCCTCCTCTTGGTGGCCCGTTGACAAGCGATAATGGACAGTTTCCGGATCGTAGCTGCCGCTGCTCGTTGAATTGGAAAAGTGCGTCACGTCGTGCGATATGAATTCACCCGAATGAGTTACTTTGCGGGGAAACACGATTTCGTGCGAAGTTATGTGGTCCTGATGAGTGTAGAGTCCTTATATAAAGGGAAAGAATTCGTTTTATCATCGTAAAGAAGGATTATCATCTACGTATTGAAGTATTAATTTTCTAAAAATGTATAATTCGACATCTATAATTTTAACACTCTCCCACCCCAGTGGTGAAAAAAAAGATAAAAATAAAAGTTTAATACTCTCATTTACATTATAAACTGTAATAAAATGTAAAATTGAGTTATGATACTTTTGATTTGTTATGCGAGATTTTAATGAAGTTCAACATTGAATTAAATTTTTTGACACTTACAAATTATTTTATGGATTTCAAATTTCAAGAATTATTAAACTTTTTTAGAAAAAAGAGTAAAAAACATAAAACATTTTTAAATTATAAAATTGTATTTTAATTCTTTCACGAATAAAACTTAATTGACACGGGTTTATCTCTCTTTGATGAAATGATACAAAGGTAATGTAAAGTAAAAAGTGCAAAAAGTTATTCACACGTCCGAAATGGATCGTATTATACGTGTTTTTACACCTTTTTACTTTCATTAAAGTTTAATACATGATTATATATTTGATCAGAAATTTTTTTTCCACTGGGGTAGATGATTAATTAACAATAATTAAATAAAGTGGATGAAATTGTATAAATACCTATCGGTGTTGTCGTCTTTGTTGCAAAAATGAATGAAATAATTGTGGATAAAATGATCCACGCGAAAATCATTTTCATTTTTTCATCTATCTCTCATGCATTGATTTGAATTTGATTGATTCTACATGTTTTTGAGTAGCGCATTACCCTATAAAAATACGTAATTAATCAAAAAATCTGATATTATTTTCAAAGACATAAATACTACTCAGACGTGATAATGAAGTATTTTGGGCTCGTTGCACGATATAAATGAAGTAAATTAATGGTCAAAAATTGTAATTTTTTTAAACGTTCAAATTGAATGATCAACAAATTACGCGATATGTGTAATACCGTACTCGTATCACGTACGCGCTATATTCGTAATCGTTACATTTTTATTAATGGCTTTGGTTCAGTTCGGTAAAGAGCGACACACGATTAAAGTTACTTTATCATTAATTCAAAGCCATATAGGCTATAGCCTCTCTCGGGCGATAATAGATTTCTTTGGTCGCTCGGAATTAATCATCGTAACAAGAGGAGAGCAGCGGCGTGTAGACGTTAACGAAACGTGAGATTTAGCATCAGATCGTGTATAGTCCATGAGACGCCAGAAGCACAGTGTATAATGCCAAATGGACGCCGGTCGCTCGGTGTCTATGGAATGTCATTCTTATATAGCACTCAGACGACGACGACGACTACTGCGTGTATAGAGTACTTCCCTACTGCCGTGAAATTCAAAGTGGCGCCAAACCGCGTATATAGATTAATCATTCAAATTATGTGCTTTGGCGATATATAACATTTCAACGTGTGTTTCGCGTTGTTTAATAAAATAAGACATTTCATATTCTCCTAGGTCTCACTTTTATTCTATTGATGATGCTCTCCATTGAGACACTTCCATATACTTTTATATTCAATGTATTATTGTACAGGCACTGCGAAAAAAGACACCTCATCATTTAGTTCTTTTTTTTAAATAGCCACAATTGTCATTACAATTTTTTACGAAAGATGCGTGCGTGCTGTCGGATATAATTGAAATAGAACACGAAAATGTTCAATCGTTATTGAAATCATGAGTGGAGCTGAATGAAGTTATAACACGATTAATTTTGAAGCAAATCGAAGTGAGCTTTTAAAAAAAAAGTTTTCCAAGCGAAAATGAAAATTGATGAATTTATGATGATGTAACGAACCATTTCACTTTCGAAATCAACACCGTTGATTCAAAATATAGATCTGGGGATTTTCCAAATTCTTTCTAATTTTTTGGAAATTGTTTAAATAAAAATTATTATTCAAACTCTAACCTGTAATACACATTTTTGTCTCTAATTATATCCTTTCGTCACTAATTATTCCTATTCATTTATAAAAAAAAGTACCTGCCACCCGTTTGGAAAATGTACCTATTAATTATCTCGACTTACCTTATTTCATGAGAATACAACAAAAATTACGACGTCGGCGCCGACGATGACGGTGGAAAGGATGATGAGGCGTCAAACGAAACATTCGTTGCACAAAAGTTAAACGAGCTGAGGCTAAACTAAACAATTTTTTATAAATACACACGTTAACTTCGAAAAATGATTCACTCCTTTGATAATTAAAATAGTAGTCGATAAGAGAAAAAAAAACAAAATCTAGTCACACACACTTATTAAGTTACGAGGATTTTTCGCTCAATTCAAAAGTACCACGGTATATCGATGACGACTTTTAAACAATTTTTTTTTATACTTCTTTTCAATAAAATGTAGATGAATTTCCATACCAGCCAATCAAATAAATCTTGTTGTGTTATTTTTTTTTCTCTCCAATCCGTTTAAAAACTTCATTCGACTAATTAGATGAATGAAATAAAAGATCGTCACTTGACGCGACTAAAAATAAAGTTGATGTAATCGAGTATTTTGCTGCAAACGTTCGCGAGCGAGCGAGAGAGAAAGAGAATATTATTTTTCCTATTATTGAATCCGTTGTTTAAAAAATACTTTTTTTTTCATTCAACAATAGCGCAATATGCACATGGAAACAAAGTCATTCAATCGGCCGAAAAAATAACTCTACGCACGGAGCTTTCGAGCGCACCCGTCAAAAAAAAGCCGCGTCGATATATACAGTCAATAATTGCCTTATCAACTCACCGAAAAAGTCAAAGTGTCAATGACCAGAATTGGGCCATAAACAGCTCTATAGCTTTTTTATTAAAACACACACGCGCTTTCTGGTGGATGCAACTAAAAATAATCACACCGAGTACATTATACCGTTTTATTTATTTTTATTTTTTCTCTTTACGATATATATTTATGTATACACATATATTTACATTTTTGCCAGTATGTAAATATATGCCTCGCGCGTGTACAGCTTCTCTCTGGTATATATGTATTGTATATATATCGAGGTGGTATATATGACGAGCTTATATAGCCGCACGGCGCGCGGACGAGGTGATGAGCGATGTAACGTGTTGGCATGCGGTTTATTCGCGAACTAATACATGTTAGCGCTCGTGGCAGGCGCATAAGCCCCGAGTCAGTCAGTCACCAGCAGCGGCTACTACTACTACTACTACTATCAACTACTACTACTACTACTACAACTACGACTACGTCTACTACTACTAGTACGTATGAGACAGTCGTCGTCGCGCGGCTCACTCTTGAAAAGTTGCGCGCGTGTGTGAACTGCCGCCGACTGCGTCGGAGACTCGCTTCGGAGCCGTGTGCGCGAGCTGTGTTGGCTACCACGCAGCGGCGTGTGTGGGCCGTATATAAAAACGCCGTCGCGCAGTCACAACACTATATAGCCCCCGTCGCTCCTGATGCTGCTACCGCTTTAAGTTGGAGCTGCGCCGCTGCTGGACAGACTCCGGCGCGCATTGGTTCATCACGTAACACGGCGCGTACTATACGCGCGGTGCATGGCGCGACTTTCGCGTAAAATTCGTTCTCTTTCTTTTTTTCAAACTCCTCTGCTGTGTGTCCCTTCCACTTTTCTCGCTCCGGTCTCTCTCTCTCTCTGGCTTTTGTTGTATTATTATATATGTATGTATATCTCTCTCTCCTGTCTGCAGACATACACACAGACACACGCACTACCGTATAGTGCCTATTAACGAGTTACAAGCGCCACCGCTGAGACTGGCGCCATTCAACGAGAGGCACCAGCCCAGGCGCGTGTACTACAACGCTGCCTATACAGCTATATACCACTTCGGGCTCGCGGCGAGCGCGTTGGCGACGACGACGGCCAGCACACGTATATGTATATATGGAGCACGGGCTGGCAGGCAGTATTCACACATTCGTGCTGCTCTTTATACAATAAGTTACTTTTTATGCGCGACCCAAGTAGCCGTGTAGACTTGTTTCATCTTGGAAGAGAGAGAGAGAGAGACAGACAGACTGAGAAATGCTGCTGCTGCTGCTGCTGTTGCTTTGGCAGCTGCAAGCCGTGTATATGACGACCATAAGACTGAGACAAATGCGAAATGGCAACTGCGTGGAAGTATATATCTTGGCTTACTACATATATTGTGTATGATATGTATAGCCGCGACATGCTTGAAGATGCCTGCAGCTGATATGCTGTACGTCGTCGCATACACATGAAAGCGCAGCAGCACAGATCGGACTCATTGTCATGATATTGCGCGTGTGCATGCGTGGTTGCGTACGTTTCGCCTTTTTTATTCAAAAAAAAAGTTTTTTTCTTTAATGCCATATAACTTCATTCATCTATGCGCGTGTATGGTCAAAGGAACTTTTGATGTTTTTTATTCTATCCAATAAATATGCACTACGCCATGCTTTCGACACTTTTTTTTATTAGGATTTCAATTTGATTGAGACGTATTTGATTCCGGCTCGATGAGTATAACAAACGAAAAGCGAATTAGCCTAGCTAACCACCAAAAGCTGCGGACTTTTCGCAGATTTTCATGATTAATTATATATACAATGAATATTCATAGACGTTCGAGATCGAATGAAAACGCTTTGTATTTTTTAATAATAATACTTTTTATTACGTGTTTCAACGTCGTGACAAGTGCGCGCAAAAAACTGGACCGCTGCTCGAAGCCAAAGATATATCATGGTAATTTGAAGCAAAAAAAAAAAAAATAATAATATATTTGATGTATCAATTCACACCGTGTCCTGTCTTCTCAAAACTTCGAGTATTTAATTTATGACTTCTAAGTAGTATTAATGTATATTCTTTAGGAAAATACACGAGAGACATAAGTGGCGGAGAACTGTTAATACCTCATAGGGTCAACGACGACGGTACATTTCATTCATTTGATCTATCGCACTTTTACGACTCCGAAGAAGAAAACGGCCGAAATAAAAGATCCACGAAATCGACGTAAATTAACTCAATAAATGATTATATACCAGCATTAGAATAACTTCAATGAAACATTGATCGAATATATACAATGAAAACTCGTATTGTGCCTCGTCCGCGTACTTATGACAAATTTATTTATCCTTTGTCACTCAGTCTGCGCTTTGTATTGTTGTTTCACGGAAGGCGACATTCGCTCGTTCTCGAACCGTATCACGAATTTATCTCGGGTTCGTTGAGCATCGAGAGGAGATCCATTGCCGATCCAACTTCGTCTTTCGGAGATCGAGTGAACTTCGTAAAACCGAGTGAGCAGAGATGTTACTACAGAGGTGTGATTGAAAAAATGACTAATTCCCGAGCTATTGTTTCGCTGTGTGACGGTGTAGTTGGTATCCAGACGTTCTAAAATTATCACGTGCTTGTTCAACGATTTTATTTGTGACTTTAAAAGGCAGGTTATATCAATATTGATGACGATACTTACTTTATTGAACCATTGTTGAAAGATACTCCACATATTGATGGCAAATATGTTCATGTTATCTATGGTAAAAACATAGGCATAAACAGAAAAAATAAACATTCACTTACAAACGATTGTTTCCTCAAAGGTAAAAACACTATTAATTCAATCAAATAAATAAAACTAATATCGTTAATCTCAATACAGATGGTTGGGAAAAATCTTGGTATAACCAGTTTTTTCGCGTTCAAAGTAAAGCAGCAGTGGGAACATCGAAGCTTGATAAACGTGAAATAAATGAGAGAAATTTCAAGACTCATAGTTTATTTTACACCATTAAAATTGCAATAATTGTTGATCGTACGTTTTTAGATTTTCATACAAACATTAATCACGAGCAATATCTGCTCACGATTATGAGTATGGTGTCCAATTTATATCGTGAATCAAGTATTGGTAATCGAATTGATATTATTGTGGAAAGAATCGTATACTTGGAAGGTGAAGAAAACGAGGTAAGAATTCAGTGATTAAATTGATAAATTAAGATTACCTCATGGTCTTATGCGCACCTCAACATTAATTCAAAATTGTGGATCTAAAATTCTATTTTTTTATTACTCTATCTAACCTATATATCTTATTGTTTAACATTTTATGAATTTTACAATTTTTGATTTAAAATAAAATCATTTGTAATTATTGTTACGGGAATTGTCATGTCTAAACAAATAATACAACTTTTTGAATTTTGAAAAGTTTCATGTGGATACTTACGAAAAGTTTTTCAGCCGAACTTGCATATAAGTAGGAATGCAGAAAAAACTTTGGAAAGTTTTTCCGGGTGGGTTAAAAAGCTGAATCCTACTGATCCTCAAAATCCAAGTCATTTTAATGTAGCAGTTTTAGTTACTCGGTGTGTAAATAATATTTTGTACATTTTTTAATAATTATAACTCTGACTTTACAATTAAGTATAATACTTTTTGGTAGACGTGATATTTGCGCCGAAGGAAATAACTGCGACATACTTGGATTAGCATACGTTGCGGCCGCCTGCGATCCTGATAAGGCCGCCTGCATTAGCGAAGATTCTGGGCTATTACTCGGGGTTGTTATAGCCCACGAAATTGGTCACACGTACGAATTAATTCGTGGGATTAAATTTACTAAAAATAGTCCGGCAAATTGGACAAAAAGTTAATCGATTTTCAACGATTATATTTGATTATATAATTTATCTTTAACAGACTCGGATGCGCTCACGACTCTGAAAATATAAGTGGTTGTCCTTCTCAAGACAGCGACGATAGTTTTTTCGTCATGTCGCCAATCGTTTCTATCAATACCATTCGTTGGTCGTTGTGCAGTCGAAAATTCATAACATCATTTTTTGAGTACTTATAAAATTATATCTAAATTAAGAATTTTTCATTTATATTTTAGAAGCCATTTAAATTTAATTCTAGAAGTGGACTCGGAGAGTGTTTGCGAAACGATCCCAACAATCTACCAAAAAAATACAAATATCCAAAGATGCTACCTGGTGCAATATATGACGCGAATTTTCAGTGTCAAATGGATTATGCTAATTCTACATTTTGTGATTTACAAGAAGTAGGTGCTTTAATTTCCAATTAAAGGCATTGATTTTCACAACAGAGACATTTGTAGAATTGATTTTTATGGTGGAAACTTTTTTTATGTAAATCGGACATCTTTTCTGCAGCTTGCGGGAATTGATCATACTCCATCTGTTGACGAAATCGAAAAGCTTTGACTATGATAAAAATTGTTACAGTGCAAAATAATTTTTTAAATATTCATCCTCACATTTTCCCATAATTTAAAGTAAAACTTAATACATATCAATTTTTACTATGTAACATAGCAATTTTTAAAATATCTTATAAATATTTTTGAAACATAAAGTTACAAAAATAACTCAATATTATAGTAATATTTAGCATGTACATGGTAGAAATCGCCCAAAATTCGACTCTAGAGCTCTTTTTCTAGAGAAAATAAGTAATATTTGCTAGCGAAGTATTTCTCTCCGTGTACAAGTTTATTTAATTATTTTTTAGTTCTTAATTAATTATTCGCGACGTATTTTTCATTATTGCAATGAATTGTTTAATAATATCAAATTTAATGATGTTTTTAGGAAGACTGTGAAAATTTATGGTGTAACGTAGGTAAAAATACATGTAAGACAAAGTCTCCGCCAGCTGATGGTACTAAATGTGCCGAAGGCAAAGTAAGTTTACGTAAGGTTTCGAATCGAAACGAAGACAATGTAACTAGGCGTTGGTTTATGTAACATCTATATAATCCAATTCTTATTGTTCAGTGGTGTTTACGGAAGAAATGTGTTAAAATCAACTCGAATAAACAAGCAGTAAATGGTGGCTGGGGTACTTGGGGTCCATATGGATCATGTTCTCACAAATGCGGAGGTGGCATACAATTGGCCGAAAGAGAATGCAACAATCCGGTACCGAAAAGCGGAGGAAAATACTGTACCGGAGAGAGAAAAAGATACAATGTTTGTAACACACAGGTAAGCGGGTAAGAGTTGGAATATAAAAACGAAAAAATAACATTGCAACAAAAAACGTCTCTTCAATCCTCGTCTAAGTTTTTGTATTTTTTTTTTTTTTGCAGCCTTGTTGATGAAATTTTTTCCAGTAATTCATCGAGAAAAATGAAAAAAAGTTTTGCGACCTTCGCGTACGAGAGAAACCTTTTCACTCGAGTATCTCAGTTCTTATGTTTTTACTGTTTAAATAAAGCAAGTACTTTCGAAAGTCTTTTGACGAAAAATGTTAACCTTTTTGTCGAAGAGAGAAGTACTTTGCAAGCGAATAAGCGAACTATACAACTTGAGAATACCTTTTAAAGTACACATTTTTCTCTTTTTATTTTTTTTATTTTTTTTTGTAGAATAATTATTAAAGGAATATATCGCGGAAAAAAATGTCTGGATTTTTCGTATTCAGTAATAATTAATAAGATTGAGAAGATGTCCAAAAAGTATTACAAATCAAAAAGGTACGCTTCAAGTACAAAAATATATGTATTTTTATATCTTCCAAAAATGTACAAAAAATAACCCATATGTATTAATGTAAGTAACAGACAAAAAATACATATTTATCGCTCTTGTATAAGCTCAGTATATAATATTTTTGCCGTTTAGTTAAATAAGAATCTAACATAGTAATTTCTAATTTTTGATTTCCAAAATAATATTTTAAAGTTAAGAGAATTGTTATTTACATCCATCTCCGTCATTATATTTTTTTTAGATTAAAAAACTTATGATCTTTCGAATGAAACAAAATAGTAATAAACTAATGGTGATACTATCAAACCTAACAAAATTGATTTAAACAAATTGATTATTTTCAAGTTGCTTTCATCAACCCACAATTTTCTCACAGATGCCGCAGTACATAGTACGTACGCTTCAACGTCGATTGGTGAACACATGGGAATCAGTTCTTGGTCTTCTAAAGTCAAGTTCTTTTGCAAACTTTCTATTTTCTCTCGCTGGACTAACAACATTCTAGAAAATGTTTTTTCAAAATTGTCGAGAATTCCTCGGACTCTTGTATGTTCATCAAGGAATCTGAAATTTAATTATTTCAATTATTTTAATTATCTATCATTTAGCGCATGAAAGGTAGCATTGCCGTCGCTTTGAGCATATTCTTTTATAGAGATTAGACTTAAAAATGCCAGGGACGGACACTAAAAGTATTTGCCTAACATAAGATTTAAAAGGGGCAGTGACGCCCTTATGTATATCCCTATCCAATTTTCATGAATGTCACTCATACAATTATCCGTCTCTAGCTGTTGCTACACTGTAAAAATTACTACAAATGACCTATTATATCTTATTTTATTTAAAATTGCAACAATTACTCTTAAGCAAATGGTTTTTATGTGAAAAATAAAGTAATGGATACAAAAAAATATTGAAATGATACTTATATAAAAATTGAAGTAAATATACTGCAATTTTACATGGCCCATTTGTAAATGTGTAAGTAAAAAGTGAAATCTATTATTTTATAAAATTTAAATTTATTGTGAATTAAGGCAAGCGCGCTAAGTATCTCACATGCGTTAACGATTTTTCAGACACGCAATAGTTCATAAGTGGCCAATAGGTGACGTGTGGTCAAATTTTCAAGACTCAAAAGAGAAAAGGCAAAGTTGAAGCATTAAATTTATACTTAATAAATACACAAATTATTATCTATAATACAGTTTTTAAAGTTGTTACTCTTACTTTGTTTTTTTGCCGGCCAAGAAAAGACAAGTGTCACAAATAGCTGATGGCAACCGTTCAAATAATAAAACAACGATAAAATGCCATATAACTAAAGACGACATGCCTCTAACTCTAAAATTAGGGTAAGGAAATTTTGAATCTGCTCGCCTACTCTTCTTGATAAGATCATCCCAAGTCCCTCCAACAGTACTTGCATTATAATATTGTGGCTCAGATCCACGAACGCTGAAAAGGTAAGCATTTATTCAAGTTAATATTAAATTTCAAATTAAAGAAAAAATAAATAAATTAGGTGATATATTACTTCCATAGAACATACCTTGTACCAATATCCCATGCAACAGCAATTAACGAATTTGTTGCAATATCTACGGGTATTATCTCAACCGGCGTTTTTCGAGAGCCAAACATATAACCAGCTCCAACTATGAGTGCTGTTGGCCCTTGAAAAGCTTCCACAAATCCTGGCATTGGTTCTCGATAAGCGGGTCCTAGTTCCGAAAATCTTACTACTCCAATTGGCAAATCTTTCGGAAGCTGCTCGTTCATTGAACTTTCCAATATGATGTCATCGTTATAGCTAAAAACAAACGACAAAAATAAGCTTCAGAAACTAGTGACTATTGAATTATAATTTTTAACACACCTGTACAGATTTTTTGCCGTGATGACTGCTTTTAAATTGGATAATCCTCTGCAGTAATCAAAAAATGCACTGGTTGGTCCAGCTGCGTGAATAGCAACACTAACATTTTTCATGGCAAGATGATCTTGTGGTTTCAAATCCATATTATCTGATCCCAGGTCGCCATTGTAAATAGAAACTTGTGATAGGGCTTTTGGATTTGACTGTCGTAGCCTTTGATAGCTGAATAATATTTACGTATTTTTAGTTAGAGTTTAATAATTCTTTTTATTTGATCTGATACATTATTATCAATTTTAATATATTTACTAGCTTTTATAAATAACAAAAAAAATTTCATTTTCATATGATTAATTATTATTTAGGCAATACTTGTTAGAATGAGCTGCAATCAGTAACGTTAAATTAATTCAAGTAAGTGGAAAACGTTTATGTATGTATTGTATTTTTGGGCTAATTCAACGCGAAATCTAAATTCTCCTTCACGAATCACTTTTATGAAACTCTCATTATGCAACGGATAACATTTTCTCCGAAAACATTCACTTCTTCCATGCTCGTACTGCACTGCAAAACTACAAAAAGCAAATATCATACCCATGGGACTCGAAAATATTTTTCACTCTCTCGTGCGGGCCGAGATCGTTCTTCGATCGCAGAACCACGTGCACTCTGACATTTCTGAACGATCTCAATAATTTTTCCAGCAGATTGCGTCCCAACTGGCTCGTTACTCCGACGAGGAGTATCTCGCGATCCGAGTACCAATCTCGCAGAGACATGGTCGAAAACTGAATATCCCCGCGCGACACACTACTGCACACACACGCCGCGCGAATGCAATCGACTCGGCCGCGCGCAAGAAAGTGAATGTGCGCTGCTGTTACGTTATAACGCGCTGCATTGAGTCTCGTGCGTGCACTTTCTACCTCTTTTGATATAAAAAAAAAAAAAGGAATAGGTCAGTAGCCACTCCAAGTCCGAATGCGTGTAAAAGTGGGGACCACTCTCGGCACCGAACGACCGGTGCATGTAACAAGCATATGCGAGGCCTTCGCACATACACACACAGTCGAATATAACTCTCGGTGCTATACTAGGCCAAACTTTCATTCCGATGCCATTTCCTTGCTCTACTATACTTTGCGCGCTGCGTTGCAAGCAATTTCTGCATGACAGAGTCTAAATAATAATTATAAGTTTGCGTTTATGAGTCTGCGGGAGCTGCAGATCATGTTGCTCAATGACTCTTTAGCATCAGATGTAAGCGAAATTTTGATTATTAATAAAACTTTTTTACGAGAGTTGTAAATTATCGACCTCAGAAATATTGAAAATATAGTTTGTGAACATAGAGCGGTCCAATTACATATAATATTAAGTGTACATTTGACCCAAAGTATTTTCAAGTATATAACATCACGTGATATTAGTTAATGCATATTTGTTATCTGTTAATTTGAAATAAACAGGGGACCCAGCGCATACTAAAGCCTAACACGTAGCTGTAATTAAACGATGTAATTTAAAAGGATATTAAATATTTACTAAGCATTTTTAAAATTTCATTTTACGTAAAAAAATTCATTTTAATTGTAAATACAAAGAACGTAGCACAAAAATCATTATCATAATATAAGTAAACTAATATTATGTAGTAACGCTTGCAACTATCGTTACAATATCATGTATATTCTCTCGCACGCGCTGGTAATTTTCCAGAATTGCATCAAGCTGACACACTGTCTTAGCAACATTTCAAGTATCAATATTTCCACAAGGCTCGAGCGCACAACAGTCATTATATGCGTCGATAGAGAAAATACAGTAAGTTTCAACTATCACACACACAGTAATAAGTTTCAACTATCTCCTTTAACACGCGCTATGGTACACGTTAAATTTTTAACCCTTCAAACCCCAGGTAATATCATCCACGAGATAGTGCAAAGATGAAAGTACAGAAAATATATTTGCTGCGAGCTTAATATTAATCCCCACAATAATGTGCTCGTCAACGAGGAATCCCTCTGGTCTTCTTTCTCGAAAACACCGATTCATTTTGCAGTAGCGCGCCGCGTCTACTTGGAGCCACGATGTTTTAAGTACACAAAGTAGAAAGACAAAGAGATTCACCGTTGCTCTAACGAACTTTGAGAGCAGAGAGTTCACGGGGGATGTGGATCATCGTCAAGCTCATCGGTTTACTCTATTTTCTTTCATCCTCTCGTACACGCGAAACATCGTGAAAATATTCCGGGCAAAATGTATTTTTATCACGAGCTTCATTATGCATCGGCATCATTCATTTTCGGTTCGAAATTTCTTGAACGAAACAAAAAAAAGATCCAAGCAACATACTGTACACACAACGTTATGAACCATATCCTAAAGTTTGTTTTTGATGCCCCATAGTAGAGTGTAGCGGCGCCCGCGCGCGTACGTGTTACCTGTCGAGAGTTAATTAACTTAATTAATGGAATTGCCCACTTCGTCAGAGTTTACTCAGAGCTCCACTATATACTTTTACTGCCATACTATTGCCGCTGCTGCCGCTGCCGTGTTCGCCGCTGCCTCGACGTAGCTTCGCTTTCACCGCGTTGGCCTAGGTACATACTGAAGCAGGCGAATATATAAACATTAAAAATAAATCGCTCAAGTTGTGCGTGCGCCCAACGTCAATGGGATTCGCACTTATTCAATGAAGGATTCGTTGAAGTTTTCTTCGAGTTTCTTTTATCAACGGTATTTTCACGATGCGTCTTCTATATAACATAAATGTCATTTTGTTCATTGAAAATTTCTGGCCAACGAAAAGAAGTAAAAGGAAGTAAAGGCAAGATCAACAATTTGACAGAAAATCATTGTAAAAATATAACTTCGTCACAGAGTACCTGCACATGACTGGCTAATAAATGGACACACGATTTATTGCCAGGATGTAGCTTTTAGTGTGCCAACTCTATTTTTTTTTTCAAATAAATCTAGTTAATCATTCGACATTGAATTTTGAAACGCGTTTCTTATATATTTATTCTTGAAAAAACCACTTCCAAATCATTGAAATATAAGGATCTAGCCTACAACTTATAAATGTTTGATGATAATAGTGCAGTATTGAGTATCATTTATGCAGTGGGCGAACGGGCGAATGTGAAACTTTTGCTTCCTTATCAAGGAAAATCTGTGATGGGTTCAATATCGACCTTTCTTGAATTGAAATTAATTTTTCGAACGGTGTCTGAATGTATGTAGGTGGGTAGCATTTTATGCATAAAAAGTCGCATTTATAGGAGCAGATGTTCTATCAAAGTTCGGAGACAAACATAAACGAATCACATTAATTTGCCAAACTTATCTATGAAACTTATCTATTTTGATCGTGTGTTTACAGTTGGATTGTCCCTCGCCGTCTTGAGTTTGACGTAGTAATTAGGTGGTGATGGTATATTATAATATAAATGAAAATACACTAAAAACAGTATTCAAAAAGTATAACGAAATTTCATACTTCTTCATTCATCCCACGGTATACTATAAATATACTAAATTTTAAAGTTTGATTTTACAAAAATTTGAAGGTTCATTCGAATCTTAGAAAAATTTTAATTAATAATTATTTAAATTATTCATTTACATGAAAATGCGACTTTACATAAGATTTCTGAACGCGTATAAGTGAAGTCGCAACGATTAAGTTGCCTAATTTTCAGCCAAAAAATTCATTATTATTTTCTTTTCTAAAATTCTATACTTTTGGCTTTTTTCAAGGTCAAAGTAGTTGACGTGTAATACATGTATTTTTATATTTATTGAAATTTACACATAAATAGAAAATGTCTCGTTTCCAAGGGAGCTCTTTGCCAATTTATTGGTGAAGGTTATTTTTATCACAGATTCAAAAGAAAAGAATGGAAATTAAACGCTAAAGTAAATACTTTTTTCTCAAAATATTTCAATTTAATTGCAATATATTTGAATACATTTGAAATAATAAAACAAGAAGTACAGAAATTTTATCTAAAATTTTCTTAACGAAAATTAATGTGCTAAATATCATAAACAGTTTGGATTCGGTTCAGTTCTGATAAAGATAGATAATTAAGTGGCAAAAAAAAATGTACACAAAATTCAGAACTATGGAAGAGTGCTCAAAATAATTGGCATTGTAAAGTTGATGTTAACTGGAGGGATTAAATATTTTTTTAGCTGTGAATTCATAATGTACTTGATTTTCCTCCAAAAATGTATAGATTTTTTTTTTAATTTAAAAAAGTTTTTTTCACAATATAATAAAATAACATTGGAGGAATTTATGATATTACAACAAATGAAAATTTTAATACTAGTCTTCAGATCACGTACGTTGAATGTTATTAATCCATTGAGTTGTTATACGAGAATGATGAACTGAAATAAGGTGGGCTTTGAGATTTATCTTCCGTTTAAATTTCTTTCCACAAATACCACAAGCGTGAGTGATGCCTGTATGTGCCGCATCTACGTGTATTTTGAGACCACTTTCAGCAGAGTATTTTTTTCCGCAAATATTACAAGGAAGTGTGATATCATTATTTATATTGCGTTGATGTGTTGTTTCAGATTACTCTTGGTTGAAGATTTTTTTCCGCAAATATCACATACATATTGGACACCATTGTGCTTTGCATCAATGTGCAATTGAAGATTCTTTTTTGTTGACGATATCTTTCCACAAATATCGCATGAATGTGTGATATCATTATGCACTGAGTCGATGTGGTTTTTGAGACTCGTTTTCGTGAAAAAGATTTTCCGCAAATATCGCAAGTAAATGTGATACCATTATGCGTCGTATCGATGTGTTTTTTGAGATTACCCTTTGTTGAGAATTTTTTTCCACAAATATCACATGTATGCTCGAAGCCGTAGTGAACCGTATCAATGTGCATTCGAAGATTTCCTTTTGTTGACAATTTCTTTCAGCAAATATCACATGAGTGTGTGATATAATTGTGCACTGAGTTGATGTGGTCGTTGAGATAATATTTAGTTGATAATTTCTTTCCACAGATATCACAGTCATGGGTTATATTACGATGCACCGAGTCAATATGAGTTTTGAGGTGAGATTTCTGTGTAAATGATTTTCTGCAATAATCACATGTATGTTTCGTACCATTATGCACCGAATTGATGTGGTTTTTCAGAACAGACTTTTTTGAAAATGACTTTCTGCAAATATCAGATGTGTTGGTGACATGGTTGTGCACTGTATTGATGCGGATTTTAAGATAACTTTTCGATCAGGGGCGGATTTGGGTATAGGCGGAGTAGGCCACGGCCTAGAGCGGCAAACTTAGAAGCGACTAAAAAGTTTAGATTTATTTAACGAAAAATAATTAATTTATTGTGTTAATTATAATGCAGAAGACACTGTCTTACAGAAAGGTTCACATACATGTATATCTATACACATTCAGATTTTCGATACGTATAAATATATATATATATATATAACACAACAAAAGTTCAAACACACGTCAGCGCAAGAGCTGCATCGATCCGAAATGATCGTCTGGGCAAAGTAAACAAAAAACTTTTCGGAAATGTAGCCGCTCGCAGTCTGCGACAAATTTGGAGTCAACGACTTTAGAGTCGTCGCAGACTGCACGCGGCTGCTTCGGCTGAAAGACCGAGCGCGTGAAATAGTATATTATGATACGTGTGACTTAAACAGGCCATTATTGCACGGCACGGTTAGCACCCGAGCGAAGCGAGGGTGCTAGTGCAGTGGTAAGAATGGTCTACTTGATTCATAAGTATCATATGATTTTTTATAGCACTGTGCTAAATTCACGTTTAGGCCCCCTTTGGCGAGATATAAGGTGCTCATAATAGCGTCGCGGTGTGAGGTTAGCGCACGAGGGTAACGAGTGTGATATGCGCACCGCGGTGCAATAATGAGCAGCTTAAGTCACGGCAAAGCGTGCCTTCAACGTGAACTTTAGCCACGCAGTGCTATAAATTTGGCTCAAAGACTGCGGTCTCTGCGAGTATGCGATCTTTTTTCGCGGAGGCGCGGAATACTTAAAATATTATACACTCGCGTGCAACATCATTAGCCAAAATATGATATGCTTAATGTTTACATTTTGCTCACTCGTTTCGATACAGTGACACGATTGAACACTAGTCAGTGTGCAGCGACTTTTGGAGCAGCACAATTCGCTAATAAATAAGCTATTCTTGTGCAGAATTGGCGTCAAAATAATTTTTATTATTATAGTGGGATATTACTTATAACATTTATAAAATGAGTATCAGAAAAAAATCGAGTGGATGTGAATATGGAAAAATAACTGCAAAAAAAGAAGAGAAGTATAAAGAAATAATCGCTAAAACACCGAAAATAGACAAACTGTTTAAAACTAACACTCACAAGAACGATAATAACGAAGATGATTCTAACAATGGTGCCAGCAGTATGTTGCAGTGTAAAAATATTTGTGACGAAGCAATGGAGATAGAAGAAATTCGATCAATTGACGACACAGACAAGGTGCTGCACGATCAGCATATAATTCGTGAACCATGTGATTCAGTCAGTGTGAGTAGTGATCCGGTTCTGTGGGTAATAAATGACGCAACCATAGATCATATCGTGACAAATGGTTTTACTCAAAATATGAACACTGATTTTAAAAAAAGTAAGCGCGAGTATGCAACAGGGCCACGTTATTTTTCGAAAGCTGATTTCGAAACAACTCTACCCAACGGCGAAAATGTGCATCGTAAGTGGCTAATATACTCAGAAAGTACTGGGAAAGTATTTTGTGGGCCGTGTGTGCTGTTTGATAGAACATCAACTCAATTTGGATCACAGAAACAAGGTTGGGTATGGGTCTGCAAAAAAATTAAATAAGAGTCACATATATGATATAATTACAATACGAGTTTCATATTTAACTTATCCATACTTACAGAATTTTCTGCCGTAATTGGTAAGAGATGAAAGTTTTCGCATTTCGGGTTTCGCATCAGTCGTTTCAGAATTATTTCCACTGGACGAAACATCACAAGGCTCCTCCTTCACTCTGAAATAACTTCAATAAGTTAAGGTTTGCTATATAGTATATTACGGCGCTTGGCCGCAAAAAAGAACAAAGTCCCAGGGCATCTGGGACTTTCTTTTTTCGTGGCTTAGGCTAGTATTCTATTTTTCATACCTCGTGGCCTGAAAATACCTTTCACGTTTTGCATAGCGGTCTGGGAATGTAAACAACAATTAGAGCACGGCTTTATATGCACTACTTTGAAATCTTTTCGTTTAGTTCAAATGTAATTTAATTTTATTTATTTATATTTAAAAATTATGTCATCAAATGTCGAAATTATCAATATTAATGAAGTAAAATCAAGTCATCATAATTATATCATTGAAAAACTCACTTTATGTATTCCATGTTTGGTGAAATATATTTTTTAAAAATTAATTATAAAATTAATTATTTAAAAATTAATATTATTTAAAAATAAGTATTGTGCAAGGTCCAGAAAAGAGTGAGAAAAAAGTTCCAAAAATTTTGGCATTATGTAAAACACGAAATAAGGATGAGTCATATTTACGGGAAAACGCAACTTTTAACAATGTCCAATTACACGTTTCAAGTGAATAACATTTCAATCGTAATTTTATTGTCATATTTTAAGGATTTTTATAAAATTGCTCATTGGCAGAAATCAATAATAATAATAATTTATTACATCATTTTAAAATTGAAAATGTACGCAAGGACAGTACTTAAAATCTCCAATAAAGAAATGTTTTCTTGAAGTTGAAAAGCGTAAAATTCACCTATTTTATACGCCGATGAATCCATCATTATTTATTGTTCAAACAAATAATTATAATGTCACGAATCGAGAAAATGTATCGAAGTGCTAAAGATCCTCCCAAAGATCCAACGCTCATATACGTTTGCTTTGACTTGTAAAGAGCTATTCACCAACGAGCGTGTTTGCCTTTCTAGCTCTCTATGTACGTTTTCGCGCAGGCAGTAACATTAACGTCGACGACGAAGACGACGAATAGTCGGTCGGTAGTCGTGGCTTTTGCTAACTACCTCGCGATCAGAGGCAAACGAAAATACACGATTCTCCGTGTGCGCACACGTGAGCCAACATAAGTTGGATATAGATTCGCATCAATTGCCGAAGTCGATTTGCAGTCGACCCGCTTCCGCTGATGGTTCGTATAAGCGATGTATTAGTCAAAGCAGCGTAACTTCGACTATACAATCGGTCGCAAACTTTACATTAACTGTATCGACACCCGCCAATCGAATGCCCTAAAACATTGAAAAAAGCCCATACGATTCTGCCTCTTTTAAAATTATAACTACTAAATCGCAACGCTAATTGATTACAGAGAAAACTGTACGTAAACTTATACCATTGTTTTCACTTTGACACTTGCAGATTCACGCACGAAGGTACTCACCATCTAGTGTCGAGAGCATGCTTCAATTATGATTCAATTTTTGCGAATTTTGTACTTGTTTCAAAAACTGAATCAGTATTAAAACATTAATTTTCAATCGAAATATTTAAGATTGAGAGTAGAATTATTTTTGTTTCGTTAATTTTTGCATTAAAAACAAGGCATATTATTTTATTTTCCTGCATTATAGTGCGATTTATGGAGAAAAAATAAATCAGCATTTATACATAAGTTTACAACGAAGAGTTCACGTAAATGAACTTAAAATAAAGTTAAGTATATATCTTAGTCATTAATTGAAATTGATCGTGATATACATTATTGGATGTCAATATGTGCGATAAAAAGTTTCCTACAATGTTATATAGTAGTAAGATCCCAATAGTGGCGACAAAGTCGCGATTTTTTTATAACGGTTTATAAAATTACGAATAATGATATTACTTGACATTGATTCAGAGCAGATAAAATATTAACAACAATGAAATTTGGTTTTGAATTAGATCGATTGATCGACTATATTTATTTACACTTTAATTCCTCGTGTCAACATTCACATTCTGCTATTTACTCGAGTAAGTCAGACTAATTAGTAGCCATGGTCCCATTCGAACAGTAAGACGATACGATATAAAGTGTAATTACGACAAAATTTCGGTTAATCAAGGAAAAAAAATGTCTTCGTCTGTGACATCGTGTTCTAAGTGTCAAATTAATTCTAGCTGTGTACGTGCTTTGGCATGCCACCAGTTGCTTTTCCATTGCATCCCATGTATGCAATGTTTGAATGTATTCGAGTCGGATTATGAACTTAAGTCGCATGTGTTATGGTCAGGATGTGAATGAGTCAGAAGCCAAAGTTAAAAAGATGAAAAATAATTATTATTAGATGAAAAGCTTAAAATAAAGTACAATCTCGGTCACACGACCCTCGCCGCAGACGGCCCAAAATCAAGTGACTCTTGTCTCTCCTGAGTCTGCGCTCGACACCTCACACGCCACAGTCACGCAACGCGCTCAGTATCCCCTCCCCTCGCACACACATCGCACGCGGCACACACGCACACGCGCCACACATCGTGCAGACACGCATATAGAGTTTAGCACACGAAGTGTATCTTATTACTAACACATGTGTGCCCCGATCCATCGTTAACCGAAACATCACATCAGGATGTAGGCGAACAAGTTGTGACAACCGAACCAAATCCTTGTGAAGAGTCACAAAATGACATTGACGATTTCAATTAGACTACATTTATTGAAGTTCCAAGAATTGAAGTCTGTTGTGATCTAGAACAAAATAAACAGCATGGATCCGTTCCGAAATTGGCTCACAAAGGACAAAAGGACCTCAAGTGCGACGTGTGTCTGAAAACATTTTCCCAAAAGAACTACTTGAAAATACACATAAAAACAGTTCACGATGAACAAAAGGACCACAAGTGCGATGTGTGTCACAAAAGTTTTACACAGAAGGCTTCTTTGATAATACACAAGAAAGCAGTTCATGAAGGACGAAGGGATTACGAGTGCGACGTGTGTCAAAAAACATTTACACAGCAAAGCCATTTGAAAATACACATAAAAACAGTTCACGATAAACGTAAGGACTACAAGTGTGACGAGTGTCATAAAGTATTTTCAGAGCAAGGCAACTTGAGGCAACACATAAAAGCAGTTCATGATAAAAAAAAGGACTTCCAGTGCCATGTGTGTCAGAAAAGTTTTACACAGAAAAGTTCTTTGAAAATGCACATGAAAACAGTTCATGACAAACAAAAGGACTTCGAGTGTCACGTGTGCCTTAAATTATTTTCACGTTCGAGCAATTTGAAAGCACTCTTAACATCAGTTCATGAAGGACGAAGGGACTACGAGTGCGACGTGTGCCAGAAAAAATTTTCCCAAAAGAACGACTTGAAAATACACACAAAAACAGTTCACGATGAACAAAAGGACTACGAGTGCGACGTGTGTCAGAAAACATTTACACGGCAAAAATACTTGAAAGAACACATAAAAACAGTTCATGACAAACAAAGGGACTACGAGTGCAACGTATGCCTTACAAAATTTACCCATTTGAAATGCCATTTGATGACACACAAGAACGCAATTCACGAAGAACAGAATGGTCAGAAACCTTATTTAGATTTTCATGAAAATTTAAATCCCCTACAAAAAATTTAATTATTATCAATTCATACTGATAAAAAATTTGATATTGTAAATTTATATTAGTTACTAACTATGCTGACTAAACTACTTTTTGTAAACACTGTCGACGAATGTATTATAAATAGGGTCAACCATCAAGTGAATGAATGGTTACAAAAAATGCTACATAAATCCCATTATAAAAACCACAATAATTTTTTTTATTTATGAAGTAGATGATTTTCAGATTTAAATACTCTTAAAAAACAAAGTTATTCAATTAATATTATTTATAAATGCATTTTACCAGTAAATGAATGCTCCGAACCAATGAATGAACGCTGCTGAACCAGTAAATGTAAGTGTGATATTGGCAATTTTATAATTGAATATTATGTTACCATCCATGAAATAATCGGGTCTCATTGAAGAATTTATATTAAGTAGTTTACTTTAAGTAGTTCAACTCATTAATGATTGTAAAAATCTTCCGGGAGCAATCAATTCTTGATGATTAGACTCGATGAATTCATAACCTCTGCAACGAAGAAATTGTAGGATTTCTATTCAATCACTGGGTAAAACATTGATTATGCCTATTTCACCCAGTGATTGAATGATTTTATGCTCTGGCGTGTAATATAAATGGACTTTCTAATAAAAAAATGGTTTTAATTAAAATCAAATTGTTGTTGTTTAAAGTGCTGTTACCCAAGAAAAGATGAATGGTTAGTACATTAAATTAATTAAATAATGAATACTGTGATAATATTTTTTGTAACAACCATTCATTTACTGGTGGGCGTTCATTCATTAGTCAGTTGACCCGAATTACAATACAATTAGTCTCCAATTACCGTAAAAACTTTTGTCTTGATACATGTCGTATAATAATTTTTTTTTATATTCATCTTAAAATACGTTCATTCTCGTTGAAATCGACAATAAACACGACCCACACACAGACTGACATTTTTCGAAAATTTCATCGAATTTTCTGAGCAAATAAAGCAAAAAAATCAGCATTAAAGCGTTAATTTTCCAATGGTCATAATGTTTATATTTGAGCAAAAATGTTAATCCTTGTCGTTCATTTTTGCAAAAGCAGTACATGCGATGGCATTTTCATGCATTTTAAGCTTTGCGACATTTTCAACAAAGATTTCTCGTAAAAGTACCTGCATTAACAAAATTGAAACTAAAATTGTCAACGTTTTACATTAAAATCTGCACTGCGGTTAATGCTTTTTTATCTATGTATATTTACAAAGTTTCGGACATTACATTATTACGAAACATCGATGTCGAAAAAGAAACAGAGACACACAGATTCAAACACATAGAAAAGAAGAACATACAGACGCACGTGACACACGCGAGTGAAAAAGATGTACACAGAGAGATCGAAAAGACAAAGAGCAGGATGGAATGGTTAAAAAAAAAAAAATAACGCATGCAGCAAACTCATCAAAGAGCCCCGTGCTCGCAAGTAGTCGTCGTCGCGTACAGTGACAAAATCGAGGAGAAGAGAGATCACACGCGCCTATAGGGGAAAAGCATCAGGCACATAGAACCGTCACAGGGGGGTGAGGTGGGGAGGACTGCAAGCACACGTAAAACTGCACACAGAACTAAGGGGGTAGTAGCGAGAGATAGATACCAGGAGCGAGTCAGTCACAGCAGCAGCCTGGAGAGCCTCACCCGGTAGTGCGCACGCTCGCCTACCAGCACCCGTATACGTACTACACACACACACTCTCTCTCTCTCTCTCTCTCTCTCTCTCTCACGTGTATATGCATGTGTCGGCGGCAGCGGCGGCGGCTTCCCCGAAGGCAGCTGAGCGAAGCCAGAGGGTAAAGAAGAAGAGGCAGCGAGGCGTCGAGGGGTGCACCCTCCTACTACCACCACCATCTCTCTCTCTCTCTCTCTCTCTGCACTCCACTGCGCACAGCAGCAGCACTGCACTGCACTGCAAGTCGAACAGTCCGCCGCAGCTGCTAGTAGTTCCGCCAAAACAGTCCCGCGGATCGTGTCGCGCCGTGCGGACACGTGCCTCCGCTGCTTGCACAACCACCGCTGAGTTTCCAGTCTGACAGTTCAGTGACATATACACGCGAGCGCTCGAGTATAGTGTCGTGCTTGCGAGTGTGTTTGACGCATCTTCTCCTGCTGCTGCAGTCGCTGCGCGCTGCACTCCTGCGGTTACACCAGGAGAGAGCTGGCCACTTATTGCGATCGAGGCGGGGAGTATATACAGTAGTTGAAGTGACACACACACACTCTGTTTCCCTCGAGAGGCTTTCGTCGGTATCGCGCGCGCTAATCCCGAATTCTATACCCCGTGGCTTATCCTCGTCTGTGTACATCCTTAATCCATCCTAAGGGGTATTTAGTACGTGACAATATTTCACATCCTTAAATTCGTACGTAGGCTTATAAAACACACGCTGTTTTATACTGTATAAATCGAATCTTTCTCGTTTTCCGAAGTGCAGTGTGTTTATGTGTCCGTGAGAATATATAAATCCCACGTGAAATAGTACATCCGAGCTCTCGAGGATCAGTGGCCGAGATTTGTAAGCAATTCCACTGCGCTGCTTGTTTCGGGCCGAGAGCAACAGCGAGAGAGAGTGCGGTAATTCCAAATTGTGGTTTTAAACGAGAGAAACGATATCCAGCAGCAGCAACTCAGCTGTCTGTGTGCTAACGCGTCTGTGTTGGTGTGTGTGTGTTTGTTCTGCGGTCGTAGTGATATATTGTGATCTTGAAATTTATACAGTATAAATCCATCATAGTGATGTATAATTCTACGGTTTATGAAAGCTCGCAGTGATGCATGCAACGAAGCGTCCTCGTGACATAATGTGTAAATGAAGAAAATTTACAGTGTCGGTTTTGTTACGACGACGATGATGATGTTAGCCGACAAGGATTTTAACGAATGTAAAGAGAGCGAAAAAACCTAGGGAAGAAAAGAGCTGCGATCGTGTTATATCGATAAGAAAAAACAACTACACGACTCTCTGAGAATTTCTTGGCTGCTGTACGGATAAATTAAATGAAACAAGCGCAACCAAGCAAGCAGCAGCAGCCCCCGATGGCTGAATTATGCCTCGGGTTCGAATTCCCGGCGAATAACCCCCCCGAGCGGAATGCAGTAGTTGCACGGTAGAAGTGTGCGACAAAGAAGAGGCGGTACGTCGTCGTCGTCGTCGTGTGCATGACCTCTTGCAGGTATAGAGGAACAGGAAACGCGATAAAGCGATAAAGCTGTGTGTCGCTGTCTGTGCATCGTATAACCATCGTCGTCGTGCTGCAACCCGGAAGAAGAAGAAGAAGCAGAGGAAGTTCAGCTACCCCCGTTGATGATTCGGGTTACACGACTCTGCTGCTGGGCTCTTCCGTGTTATCGCGAGTGATATCTTTCCCTCTCCAAAAGCTATAGACGCCGAGAGGCGAACACGTTTTACCTCGTCGGATAGATATATTTCGCTAGTTTTTTTTTTTTTTTTGCCCCCCGACGATGCACGAACACGAAAAAAATATAAAGAGGATCGAGAGAAGAATATCGGCCGAGCTAGTAAGCGCATTCTTGGACCAGCAGCAGCGCAGACAGCCGCAATAATCAGGATAAATCTCAGCGCGATAAATCTCTCTCTCTCATCTCTGGAGCGCAATCAAATTTTCGAACAATAAACCCCCGCGCGGGTTGGGATGAATAATGATTGTGAAAAGATTCGTCGGGCTGGCCGATCATCAATTATAAACTAAAGTACCTAGAGCTGCTACGTAATCGGAAGTTTTTGTAATCGGTCGGTCGGTCGGCGTGTGCTTAATAGCAAAAATGAAGAATGCGAAGGAGTACATATTGACGCGGATCAACGCGCGTAATTAACCAAAATGAATAAATATCGAGTGGATCACCGAGATATGATGTAAAACGTTGTGCGCGCAGTGTGCGATATGATGACATGAGGATGTTGCTGCAGTCGAGATAATAGCCTGGGCTGAGAGTCATGAGACTTCGAGCCTACTTCTGCAGCCGTCGTCAAAAAGCGATGCCTATTAACTTATCCATCCTCACGTGCATTATGATTTATTTTGGTGAGTCTACCTTGAATTATTATAACGTGTTTTTTCTTGTAAAGATTCCCCCTGAAGCGCAAACGCGCGTCAACAAGCGTACGAATGAAGGAAACGATTGAAAATCTGTGATATGAAACTTTTAATTTTTCATGGTAATGGAGATTAAAAAATTTTCGTTTAAAAAGGATATTTAAGCTCGGATCAAAGCTCGGGTCGAAATAAGTATTTTCATTGCTCGTTTTCAATATTCTAAGAAGAGGCAGTAATCTATATTCTTCATTTCTCTCTGATTATAAATTGATCGAAAAAATATTTACCACTTGCGAATTTATAATGCTCCATCTATTAATGAAATCAAAAAGCTCACAATCAAATATGACACCTATGGTCAATCTTCATGTAGTAATTTTTGTTTGTTTTTATAACGATAAATCTATTTGGATTCATTTTTAGATTAAGCGCAATTCCGTTTTTCATTCTTATTTTTCAATTTTTTTTTTTTTAAATTCTAAAGAATTTCGTTATTCAGACTTTTCATTTAAAAACGTACAAAAAAAGTGAGAAAGACAAAAACTGCAAGCTTTACACTCTGTAAGCGGGAAAATCACGAATATATATTATTTATTTGTGTTATTAATATGAATGAGCTGATTTCTATCGTAATTTTGCAAAGTTTATCGATGCAAGAACTGAAAAAAATATTTGCATAAATCGTATTGTACAAATACGTATATTTTCACAAGACACTTATTTACGAGGATCTTTGTTTGCAAATCAAAAAAACCGTACGCCTTGTCTTAAATATTCAAACGGAATGAACGGAGCTTTTGTACAAACATTTACCTCCACCGTAAGCTAAGTTCGATAAAGTATATGGCAAGAAAATAATAATTACATAGACATTTACATGAACATCGTTTCGAGGGTACATATTACCCGATTTCGTGAAATTAAGCGCGAACGAACAAAAGACAAAGAGAGTCTCTGGGAAACGATTAATACCCTCGCGCGCGCTGCAAACAAACCGAGCATAAATAGCTTCGATGCGACAGAGACTAGGTCAAGCCGGCAAGAAGAAGCGTATAAATCCGCGCGCACTCTTGTGCGATATCCTCGATATCGACGTTATAGTACCAGCGGAAAGAGATATGGTTGAAATTAGAGCTCCCGCCACTTCTTTGAAACAAAATTTACACTCAGCTTAAAAGCGTATATATAATAAATAGTAGATCGTACCTCTGCGATAATAATGCGAAGATACTCGAGCAAAAAAAAGTTATCGTTATGCCTCGCATATTCATGTCGAGCTAATTTGAAAATTGTTATCAACTTTGAATGTATTCGCGCACACGGCGCGGCTGTTCCGCTTTCGTGCACACACGCACACATACACACGGCGCAGCGGGCCTCCACCGTTTCGTGCAAAATCAAACTTTTTTTTTTTTTAATAGTGCCCATTTAATCCTGGCACAGAGAAGCGGCACATCGTGCTGCATGATAGTGGGAAAAGTTTCTTTTCAAGTGCGCCTTTTACACAACGTTGAAGAGAACACACGGCGCTCCTAATTCGAGCTATAGTTTCTACGTCGAAAAACTTTGCCTCGCGATCGTATAATAATTAAAATTTTCAAACTTAGGACTGCAGCGCTGCAATTGTTGAATGCATGGCAGTAATTCTGTCGAAAATAATAACGATTAAAATCGATCCTTCGTTTTTGGTGTTTTACACATTGATCAAACGCTGCTTATTACATTTAGCTGAGCTTGCAAATCGCGCGAAGTTGTAAGTCACCAATAATGGCGGATTTTTGAGGTTTAACGTGTGTGCGCTCCACGGCAGCCGAAAAAGCGTCGTCGCATCGTGCGGGCTCGAAAATTCCACTTGATTTGTGTCCCTCCGACAACTGTGCTTCTGCGGCGCGTGCTGGTATGGGAATATTGTTTTTTTTTTTATTTCGTACTCCGAAAAATCTCGCACTTTTCTGCAGATATAATATCCCACACACACACACACACACACGCGCGCGTAACATGTATACAATATACATACTAGGTGCCGAGTTGTGCGATATTATATTCTCCAGTATAGCGGTACGTGTTTCCGCGTCGCATTTTTGCGTAAAAGAAAGAAAAAATTTCAGTGACAAAACTGGGTGGACCGGTGGTGGCACTCCTGCCTACTACTGCTTGTGCTGTATGTACATATATTGCGGCTACGCAGAGAGACAGAGCAGAGAGAGAGAGAGAGAGAGTTGCATTGATCAAGTCTCTCGGCAGCTATGCATGCCCACCCCACACACGGACGCGAAATGACCATTGCGCGGCCCATGTGCGGAGCCGCAAAATACGTTGTTGCTCGGGCACAGATATGTGTGTTGTACACATACACGTACTTCTGATTAAGATTAATTGTTAGTTCTTTTTCACTCTCTCACTGCGCGCAACATGTAGGTTCTCTGTGTTCGAGCACACAGAGAAACAGCGAGAAAGAAATATTTATGTGGTATGTGCAACATAAAATGAATTAATGTATAAAAAAAATATATATCGTACATACGACTAATAGTATATAGCGCGCGCGCGTGGAACACAACGGCAAAAATATATTCATAAAAATAAAATTCTTTACTCCGATAGAGAGCAGTGCGCGTTTTTTTCTGGTATTCGAAATATTTATATATATGAGGCTCGTGTACTTGCGCCGCGCATAGGTTGTACTTTTTAACGAAGCTTTGAAGGAAGATAATTGTACGTATATACGCTGGCTTATACGTATACGTTTATACTTTTTTTTCTGACGCGCGCTTTATAACGCTGCTGACCCGGAAGGTAGTATAGTTCATGATGCAGCAAAAAATGTATATATGCTGCTCATGCTCTCTTGCTCTCGCTCGGGCTCGCTTTGTTCGTTTGTATTTCTCAATCGAAGTGGCAAAATGATTTATTCTCGCCAATTTTTCATTTAATTATGCATATAACCGTACGTACGCGCGCGTTTAATGTATGGTATATAGCAGCTGTGTGTGTGTGTGTACACTTTTTATTGTCTGCGACTAGGAAAATACGATTATAGTCTTTTACGGATTCGTATGTATTCTTACGTGAATCGAAAAATTCCAACGATACGAAAAATTAAATTTTCCATAGGTGATAGTGAGTATAAAATTAAAATTTCTAGTAATTTTTTACTACTTGAAATCATTCTAATAGCAACTCCTATAAATCGTACTCTAAACGCCAACGCCAAACGCCATCTCAGAGCTGATCTTCGATCCCTTTAAATTTTTCAAGCTGTTACACGTTGTTTACTTTAGTTCAAAGTGGATTTGTTGGACTCTTATTGACTTTTTTCCTTTTTGTTTGATCAAGTTTTTCCGCCTCGTCGAGAACGAGATATTTGAGAGGCTAAACGGTGTTGATGCTTTCTGAAGTAAAACTTCTTTATTCGTGTTGGTGTGTGTGCAACTGGTCCTACATTTGATAGTCGAATCCAACCCTGCTCCAAGCTCCACTCTGCAAGTTGAAAAATTACCGAATATAATTCGAGCTTATTACTCGACGAGCTTATAACAATGTTTACACTTTATAAATCACAGTATATATAGGTCAGTACACTTTACAAAGTCGCTTCGACAAGATCGCTTCGACAGTCGCAAGTGATTCTCGTGAAAAATAACAAATATCTCAAATTATAATTAACGATTGTGTTTCTGTGCAAGAGTGTTTAGAAAAATGGCACAAAACAATCAAAATAGTTCAAAGGCAGCCTATCGGGAGCTCTCAGAAAAGAGTCGCGAGCTCCTCGGTGACATTTATTCCGAAATCTGTAACTACAGATCGAGCGAACTTCCAGATCTACGAGACATTTTCCAGCCCGCAGCGATCGATTACCTTCTGGGCATAAAATCGGATGGTTCCTTGGTCGACTCGCTGATCAAGATCGGCTACAAGGATGTGCCCGAGGTCGACGAAAACGGCAAACCGATACTGCGTCGAAGCACGCCAATACATCGCGTGTCCGAATGGGACGAGGATGGCTTCGTCACCTCCAGACTCTTTCGAATATACGACAGATTCGACGTGAATTACGCTGACGATTGCGGCGTCACACATTTCCATCTGGCCTGCTATCAGAACTGCGCGGACGAGGTGAAGAAATTTCTCGAGGCCGGCCAGGATCCCAATTGCTTCACGACAGATGGCGACTCGCCGTTGCACTACGCTCTGAGGTATCCGGCGCACGAGTTGATCGAATTGCTGTTGAGAGGAGGGGCCAATCCAAATTTGGCCAACAAGGGAGGATCGACGCCTCTGCACTACATTTGCGAGGAAGGCGAAGACGAGGACTTGGCAAAAATGATATTCGAGCTTAGCAACGAAAAATATCGTCCGGTCCAGGTCAACGCCTGGGACAAGTGGGGCAATGCACCGTTGCATTATGCTCTGAAGTGTCCACACGACGAGATGATCGAATTGCTGCTGAAAAATGGGGCCGATCCGAACTTGGCCAATGAGAAAGGATTGACGCCTTTGCACATAATTTGCAAAGACGGCACTGATGTCAATTACTTGTTGGAGATGTTCTTCAAGATCAACAAAGAACTCGATCAGCAGGTGCAAGTCGACGCCCGGGACGATTGGGCCGAACACCTCTTCAATACGCCGTGGCGAGGTTATTGCCGGAAGCCGTCGATATGCTCTTGGATCATGGCGCTAATCAGTCAAGTTTTGTTTTTCCTACCGAGAGTCACTTCGTTGAAATGTCTATGACGCCTAATGATTTAATCAATTTCAAATTAAGGATAGCAACTGGCCTTCTTGCCGTCGTCGAAAGCCTGGGAAAAAGAGGCTACGAATTGGACCGTAGCGACGCCTTGATGATCATGAAATTCTTCGTCAAGCACGGATTTATCCAGTACTCGTTAGATATTCGAAAACATTGGTACGGATATCATAAGTTTACGAGCGAAGCAAAAAAGTTGATGATACAGCCGAACCTGTCCATCTACGACTTGATG